TAAAAGAAATAATCTTATTTTTCCTCAATGTTAATATGACCTTTGTCTTTCTTGTTGTCCTCGACACTTTTGCTTCTTCTTTTTCTTTGTGAAAATTTAATTTATAATTCATTTCAATTTCAGGTGGAAATATTTATCAAAGAAAATTTCTTATACGTTGTTGTCATTCATGACCTATATATATGTGTGTGTGTGATTTATCTTTTGTATACGAATTCAGACAAAAAAAAAAAAAGGTCCAAAGGCTTGGTGGAACACGTAGAAAATGGAATTTGGGAGAAATATATATATATATATATATATATATATATATATATATATATATCCAACATTTGATTTAGTAATTTTTATTATTACTAATATTAAATTGTTAAATTGATAAAACCCTTCCCAATCTAATAGTAAGAAGTTTAGAAATGATTTTACATCCAAAAGTTGACAAGCTAATTTGATGAAGATCACTAAGATTAGTAGGATTAACAACTTTTAGGACTAAACCAGAGAAGTTGTTGATATACATCTAGTTAGATGCCCTCCTTGAAGAAATCCTTGACTGCTACTACAGCGTCATTTTTTATCACATCCCAACACCCTCGGTAAAAATTCCCTGTAAATCCATCCTAGCCTAGCACATTAGATAGGTTAAGATCCACAACTAACTCCTACATTGAAGGGATTGTCGTTAGCTGCTTATTAGTAGTCTCTGAAATGCTTTTATCAATATCTAAAAATAGAGCATTATGTACATAGCCTAAATAAGGTGTTTGTGTAGAAAAAGTAAATTTTATGCTTTTAATTGCTCGAATTTGTTTGTTTGTAAAGCTAAGGATTTGTATTGAGATGTATTGTTGTTTATATAGATACTTAAGGTCGAGATACTCGAGGAGCTCAATGATTGATGGTTGTTTTGGATAGCTATAACTTACGAGTGGGTTATGTAGAATTCGGTAATATGTTAAAAATTTCATTCATTTATATAAATATTGATTTAGACATGAGTATGAATAAGTGATAATAGTTTAAGTACTATTACACTCTAATAATGCATTGACATGGTATTGTGCTTGAATATGATTATAACTTTAGGAACCTAGTCAGAAGGTTGGTTTGATTATTGATATCAACGAAGGATCAAGAAAAAGCATGGGCAAGACCCCCCCCCCCCCCCCCCCCCCCCAAAGGTTGTGTGTCAAAAAAAGAAATAAATCGACCAAGGGCTAGGAACGAGTGTGAAAGGCTAAAGAAAGCCTATTACAAGATAATGACAATAATCAACCAACTAATGTATTTATATTTATTCTAATATCCCAAATGTTGGCTTATAATGAAATGGCTAAAGTTATATTTTGATTGAGCACACATTAAGATAATAAGCATTAAGAATGCTGAGAGATGATGGTGTTGTGTGTGGAGCCTAAATATTGCATGATAACGATTGACATTCATCATACAAGATTATATATATTCTTGTCACTGAGTGAGATAAAAAGCTCATATCACCAGAATTGTAATTTTGAATTCAAGGAGCTCATCGGTTATTTAAAATTGTCCTTTTGTTTAGACAATTTATATATGTTATAATTTTATTTTGAAGTCAGCCATTCTAGATTTCTGCAAATTCCACTTACCTAGAGTCGGTTTTGTATATATTGGCCATGTATGTAGTTTGTTTAAGAATGCATGTATAGTTTATTGCTTTTGGTTTGTATAAGACATATAAAAAGTTTAGTATTTGTAATTAATTCGATAATATATTCAGTTGAATGATTTTCAAAAATTTTTAAATATTACTATATAGCCTTTATCTATTCTTATTAACAGGCTCAGTTTCATCACATCGCCACTCTCTCTTCTTCCTTGACCTCATTTATTTTTTCTTGGCCGTTATCATAGGCTTGTAAGCCTAGATATAATCCCCGAACAGGAATCTTGTTGAGCTGTTGCATAAACTAGTACTTATTCCAGTGGTTTCGCCTTCCTTTGCTGCCTTCTCTGCTTTAGCCCTTTTAAGAATCTCGTGTCCTCCATGTTTGACCAGGTGGAATGGAATGGCTATTCTCAAATGGGGAAATGTATGGAATCACATGGCAAAGATTGAGACTAACATGTATGGTCTTGTCATTCTTACGATCACTGCAGAATTCACGTAGCAAGTAATGAGTGGGAGCAATCTCATCTCCTTTTTGCATCACACTTATCCAATCGATGAAATTTGCAGTGCCAGCAAATATTTATCACCAGGAGTTTCCTAGTTGAGGATGGAAATTTCTTAGACATAAATTTCAATACCTAGAAGTGAAGAATGTTGTTACTGGAACATAAAGGAATATAATTAAATAATAAATATTGATACAATAAATAAATAAATTTATTATAAATTAAAACAAATAAAGAATTGGAACCTTTTACTTTGATCATTAGAAAAATTAATGATTAAAATCACATTATCATATTTCGCGGTATAAAGATGATCGAACCATCAAAATGATTTTACCATAATTTTTAGGTGATTAGCTCGAGGCACAATCAAGTTGCTTTTTTGAGACGATGCGTCTCATCCACAAAATTTATCTGATACAACGGATAAAAAATATATATTGCACGCCATCTCAAGGATACAATAAACTCAGCCACATTATCGTGTCTTAATAAATTTGCACTACTTATAAAATTTGAAACTCTAAATAAAATTTAGTACCTCTTTTACCTAAATAAATAAACATTATATGGCTTTATAGTGAGAGATTAAAGAGCACAAAAAATGAAGAATTATATTTCTTTTTCATTGGAAAACACTGCAATAGTTTTCTCTCTAAATAACAAGAATATAAAAATGTTTTTATATAATTTTTCTTTTTATACTAGCATACATAAACATAAGAGGAAGGTCCTATATATAGGCCATAGGAATAAAATCGTTTGGGAAGAAATAATTGCAATCATTAAGTGCAATTATTGTAAAAACGATAAAAAAAACTTTTTGTATAAATGATGTAACCATTTGTTAATTTATTAAAATAAAGATAGCTATTATAACCATAACATTTTAATGTACATCGTTAACCATGCATTGAATACTTTATTATTGTTGTTTAATAATAATAAGTATAGTATTTTATTAAAAAATAATCTAACAATCCTCCCCTTATTTTTTAATAAACTATTAACCATATTTTTTAAAACAAATAATACAATAAATGTAGTTTTTTATAATTTACTAAAAAATATCCCAACAAAGAATAGCCAGAAAAGAAGATTGAGCTTGGAGATTTGGCAGCACACAGAGAGCAATCAAAGTGCATTCAGTTAGAAGATACAGCTTCTTAATGCCAAGAACAAATAAGTACAGGAAAGAGGATCACCTTGACCAAACTCTTTTAGGATTACTAGCATGCAATCGCCCTCCGTTCCCAATAATAACCAAAGACTGATCGGGTAGCATAAGACATGATAAGCCTAATATAAATATGAAGAAATCCAAAATGGAACAAGCTTTGGCAAGGTCAATTTTCAAGGCAAGATGCCCGACTTCTTTTCAGATTTTTTTTTTAATTATTATTTTTAAGAATAAAGCAGCTCTTGGGCTATCAGAATATTGTTAGCAGTAGTCCTCCCAGAAATAAAAGCACCCGGTAAAGGCCAATCAAAACATCTTATAATGGGCAAATATGTCGAACAACTACCTTAGTTAGGATCTTGTAGCTAACGTTGCACAAGCTAACGGGCCGAAACTGCTTGAGATGAGTCGAATTGTTTTCCTTAGGGATAAGAACCCCACAGTTTCAACCAAATCAGAAGGACAAACACCTCAACTAAAAGCCTGCTGAACCATGTTACAAACAATATTATACATATACCAAAAGGAAGAAGAGTTTTCCTATACCAAGCTCCTGTTACTAGTTTGCATATATTATAATACATAATTATCTTTGAAAAATAATTATTACCGATGACTTTTTTGAATAATTTGATAATAACTATGTGATGCATCAAATACTAAATTTTGATGTAAATTTACCATTCACTAGCAGAGGAGCATAAGCATTAATTGATCAAATATTTATGATTAATTTGAGAGACCAAATTATAAATGAATTTATTAGTACTTGAGATTTTATTTATTTTGTACATGATATGACAATTAATGCTATCTTAGATCATATTTAATCTTTTTTATTAATAATTATTTTTATTGATTATTGATTTATTTATTTATCTATACACACAAACACATCTATGTATATATTTTTATTTGTGTTAAAGAATATCATGTTATAATTGTAAAGTTAAAACTATCATGTATAAGCCTTAATATGTTCAACAACAACACTTACCAACCAACCTTATTATATTTAACACCTAATTTTTTGTAAATACTAATATAACTTGTTAGCAATATATTCAATACTTAATTATTCACTATTTAATAAATTCAGCACTTATTTTTTAATTTTATCAAACACTATCTAAGTTATAATAATATTCAAAAGAAAAGTGAAAAAATGAGGAGGAAGGCCTAAAAGGGAGGAAGGTCTAGTAATAAATAATAATAATAATAATTAAAAAAAAAAAAACAGAAGGCCTCGACAGGTGCCTAGGCTGCTTGTGGCTTAGATGCGTAGTTTAGTGCTTGTCCAGGCCCATCCCACGATAAGTCGTTAAGAAATTTTATAATACATCGAGAATAACTAAGTAGCATGTACAGTAGCTTATTTCACGAGCTCACTTTGAGGAGAGAGATAGACACAAAAAATAATAAAATTACATCTATGTCCACCAAAAGTGATAAGAAGATTTTTATGTCTCGCTTAATTTTTTTTATTTTCTCTCTTTTTTTTGTATGTATCTCTCTCTTCAAAGTGGATCTATAGAATAACTACCGTACATATTACTAATTACTCTTAATATATTATAAAATTACTGTGAGTCGTTAGCTGAGTGTCCAAAATGGTCAAGATCGACTCTTCATTTTTTAATACTAAAGTTTGAAAATACCTCCTCTACTCTCTGAATCTGTCTTTCTCCCGAAGCACCACCGCCAAAACCGACGTTTCATTTTTTGAATTCCAAAAATGTAAAATTCCCTCAGCTGCTCTCTCAATCTGTCGTCCTCTCAAAACACCGCTGTCAAACTCCCTGATGTCCTCTCTCCCAAGTCCAGCCACTCCCCATTGTCCTCTCTTCCAAGTCCAGCCACTTCTCGTGCCATTCTCTGTCTCCTTGCCGAAACCAACCACCACAGACCCCCCACTAACGTTCTCATCTTTTCCTAAAACACCGCTGCCAAACTCCTTTCTCTCGTCTGTTGTCTCCTCCGTTGCCATCCTCACTCCCAAGCCCAGCCATTTCTCACCCCGTTCTCTCTCTCCTCGCCAAAACTAACCACCACAGACGCCCCCCACTACTGTTCTCCTCTCGGTCTTAAGGTTTGTGTCGATGGCTAATATTTTGGATGAAATTATCGTCTTGTGTGTGAAATTGGTTGGAACTAAGGTCAAAAGGTCCAACTTTTCAACTTAATCTTACACAATGCAGCGAGTCAAAGTCAGAATCCTATATCAATTGGGATTGCAAATGAATCATGACATCATTGTGGACAGATATGGAGCCAATTCCATAGAAGTTGATCACAAAGCTAATAAAAAGCATATGGTGCATATTGCATTAAAAAAAATCACAACATGATAACCTTTTAGAAAAACCAAGTACGTCGGCTTGCCTTGGGCCTGTAAAAGCCAGGCGCCTAGGCCTACCTCTTTTTTTTTTTTTTTTTTATCTCCTTATGTTCTTTCTTTAACTTTTTTTTTAATTGAATTAGATATGAAAATTATAAAGAGACAATAGTTAATATTTTTTTTTACGCAAGCTGACAAATTATGTAATATATAAGTTATGTTTTTAAAGTTTAGAATGAAAATATATATCCAACTATATTATTATTATTTGAAATTGATTTCTTTAATTTATCTTTTCTTATAAAAATTCTCATCAACTTAATTTTTTTATTCTTATTTTTCAAGTAATTTTATTTTCTTTATGTATTGATTGTCAAATAATTTTTTTTGTAGTTATTTTTATTTGTTTAATTCTTATATAATCAAATTTTTAGTATGTGTTTGGTAAATATGGTGTAAGTCTCTCTACAAAAAAGTATGTTTGGATATAAAAAAAATATCAATTTCATTTTATTTTTATTTTTTCAAAAAATACAAATTAAAACCATTTAAAAACACCTAAAACGGCATCAAACAACCCAAATGCATTTTAAAAAGCACTTTCAAATAGAGTACAAACACATTTCTAAACACACCCTTAGTCGCATTTGATTTTCCACATAAATTAATAAAATACAATTAATTACACGCTATGTCATTTGTTTTCAAATTACAATTAATTACACGCTATGTCATTTGTTTTCAAATTACTTTTTAACAGTAATTACATTCTAACGTTAATTTTTATTTTATTTTAGAACGAAACATACATCAAATTGATAAAATTAGATTACTAGTGCTGGATTCATTTGCCAATAAGTTGACAAATTGGAAGTCAGAAAAGGTTTTTTTCTCCATGAAATATAAATATTTATAAAAACTAAATGTCGTAACATGAGACGATTATTAAGAATGATTTACTTTTTATCTTCTATTTTGTGACGGGGATGGTTTTATAAAACTTTTGACTTGCGTTTTGGAATTGCATGCCGAAACCGCTCCTCTTACGTACCTTGCATGTTTACTTTCATTCGCCATGCTAAGCATTCGATTGCGACCCATCACAAACAAGATATCAATCATTGCAGGGTGCTTCTTAACAGATCACAAAACCCTAACTACGATGATACCATTTTATTACAAACAAATTTTAAATCATACAAAAACTTTAAAAATTAAGTATTTACAGATACAGATAATAGCACCATGGTGTTAAAATCCTCTTTATGGAATCCCTAATTTACATTAATTGGGATAACTGCACAATACATTAATCAATTCCCGCGTATCAACCAGTAGCTGTTCAACTCTTTAATCCACAAGCTTGGTACCAAAAATTCTATAATGCCTACTTCCCCAGATATCATTTTTGTCGAGGAAGTAAGATTTCAGGCAACACTGCACCCATGGTGGATTTCTGGAAGCATGAATGGCTCCCTTGCCATCATTATTTGCAGCCACTCCAAGCAATTTGTTGCGCTTGCTTGTCAATACATCGATGGAGGGATGACCATCAAAAAATTTCTCCTACCATGAATAAGATGGCAGAATAAAAGACTTGGCCACATAAGGAGCAATAAACCAATGTAGGACATTAAACCAGTTTTTTAACCAGCACATGAACGGATTATAGACAAGTCATTAGGAGACAGTATCTTTTAGTATCCACTTTCAATTAAAACAATAATCCATCTTTTGCCCTTCTTCAACATAATACATTCCCATATTTAAACAAATATATATATATATATATATATATATATATATATATATATATATATGCATGTTAAAAAAAAAAAAGTTACAGCCTTTATAGGGAAAGAAACTCAATTCTCGACTCCACTTCAACTTACCTCCAATTTCATGCAAAAAGCTTAGCTATGCCCCAATTCTAAACCATTTAGGGTCAGCTAATTGGATACTACCCTTAAAAATATTCATCTCCCAACCTTAAAAAGGCAATATATGAGTTTTGCATAACACGTTTGTTGATAAAGATATACCAACATGGTCAGGATCTAGATTCTGAAAAAAAAATTGCATGCATCTCCAAAAAGGCCTGCAAGTTGCCTTGCAGACCATTCTGAAATCAAGGACAGTCCAAGGAGTCAATGCTAACAGCAATGGCATCACAGCAAAACACTCAAGTCATTGGACAAAAATGAATCCATCTGGAATGCAACATTCTAAGGCCAAAAAGACCCACAAACAAAACTCAGCTCACTCAGAAGCACCCAGGACCAAGCAATTCAATGGTCACAATAATCACACCCAACTTAAGGACTTCTAAACAGGTGGCTACGAATGATGATATATATGGGAAGGTGAGCACTAACAGAGATAAAATAAAACCCAAGCGATCTCTATGACAAGTGAGACTGAGATGTAAAACAAGAGATAAGACACGTTAGTGGGACCAACAGGCATCGATCCAAAAGTTAATAGTTGGAATGTACATATTCTTTCTACCCACAATTTTTTCATATTAAAATAAGTGGGTCCAGAAAATGCTTGATCCTATCAAATAAGGGGCGATGACCAATATGTCCTGGGACAATCTGATGTAATTTACAATATACTCCATCTCATATTTTCTGTCCAATATGCAAACAACAAAAATTTTAATCTGTTTTTTAAATCACAAAAAAAAAAAAAAAATTAGAACTTCTATGTTAAAGTTGTAGATTATTAATTCTCTACTAGTGTGACTTAATTTTATACTCTGTTAATTTAAAAGATGAATTGAATTTTTTTATTGTTTAGCTTAACAGACCACTAAAATGGGAGATACATCATATATCAATTGCAATGAAATAATAAGGTCTTGTACTCACATGCATGATTGCGTGAATAATATGCCAATATAGTAAAATTCAAAGCAGGTTAAGTTGTAGTAAGAGAATGTTTGTACCCCATCTTCAGCATAGACAAAAGCATGGATTCTGGCAGTTGGATCCTCTATGGTTAGTCTAATTCTGTACGTCCCATGATGAGAGAAATCCTCAGCACGCCATGGAAATGCAGCCACTACTCTAATTATGCACTTGAATCTAGCAGTTGCCTGCAAGGTTTAAGGTCAGGCAAATGGTGTCAAGCTGTATCTAGCCCCCGTATTCTCTATTTTGTGTTCCCTAAGTCAGCTTCTACTTTCCATCATAATGGAACTGATAATTTACAAGGACATACAGTTGGTCCAGTACAGTCACCCAAAGGAACGATCTTGTGTAAAGCTTGACAAAATTGCAATAGTTGACAGCCCATTAAAAAAAGGAGAACACTCTTGCAACTGCCTTCAAATCCCAGAACCAGGAAACTAGCCAGAATATTTATGGAATCACAACCTAATTTTGTTTGTAGGATTAATATTTCAACACAGAAACCTGAAGATAGTCAGTCCCAACTTTTGCAAGGTAATTTCAAGTTATTGTAAATATTATCCTGATAGAAAAAATAATAATAACAATAATAGGGCAGGGCACCATAGTTCATGCAGTAGAAACAAGACTTTAATAAAATCCATGACAGCCCCTTTTAGGCCAGAAGGAGGATGTTGGGGGGGGGGGGGGGGGGGGGGGTGGGTGGGTGGGTGGGTGGTTTGGGGAAGGCCATTGGGAAAAACCTAATTCTCTTTTCACATCAGACTTCTGTACAGGCTTGAACTTTTGACATTGCACTCGACAACGGCCCTGGCCCCTGCTATGAACAGCTAGAAGGTCCAATTACTGTTGCTATTTGTGACTCTTTTCTATTTTAGTATGTCACTAATTCTCTTGCAGCAGAGTAGCACAAGAACTTCCAGAGTTAAAAGGGTAAATTCTAGTGATACTGAAAGTTAACATCAAAAGACATCATCTGAAAACAGGAAAAAGAACAGGATAGCATACAAACAAATATCTTACCTCTGAATAGGTGAGAACATCCATTAATGTAACAAACGGCATGTGGTCATAGTCAACCTCTGAGGGGGAAGGACATTTGAGAATAGATCATCACCGTTATAGAGCTTTTAAGCATAGAGATGAAAATTTCCAAAAGACTGAACTAGACAACTACAGGATGAGAAAATGAAGCATACATGGGAATCATATAAGAAGTCTACAATATGAAACCTGTAATTCGTGAACACCATGGAAAGCACCAATATGGGATGCGCCCTAATTTCAATGACAAGCGCTCATCATATGACCTGGCTCACATGGATATATAAAGGAGAAGCAATATCAATTTTGAAATTTCCATTAAAAACATGCACCATTAATTGCAGCTTTGTTAGAAACATGTACAATTAATTCTAGACAAACATATACATACCTCTGGCATGCCAACACGGAATGATCCTCATTTGATAAATATCTAAGCTTTGTGAAAGGTGTCAAAACACCACACCAGAGTACTGCACGCACTTCACAGAGTATGCTGATGAACTTCACCCATTTACCCACACTGAGCAGGTGGAGAGCATACTTCTGATTGGCGTTGTCAATGATTACCCGTAATATCGTTCCAACAGTAGGAAACGTACATAATAAATCTCTCGGCAAAGGTGAGGGTTCCAACTGTAAAGGAAGTTGATCATCCATTTTGTGTTCTGGACTGTGATTGGAGTCAGAATGACTATCTCAGTGATTCTTACCAGGATTATGAGGAACTAATGAGAAATAAAAAAAAAAAGATAAAAGAACATGCAACAAAGTCATATCTAGACAAGAACTACAACAGAAAATATGCATTACAATTTAAGCAACATCAAAGAGAGAACGAAGTGTTAGTAAACTGGGTGAAATCAGTTTTGAAGGCTATGTTCCCACATACATGAGTGCTGTGTAATCTCAGCATCCCTGTTAGACTAGGTCAATTCCAAAAGACAGCAATTAGACTGCTATTAGACTCATCTAGACTCTATGGCAATCAATTCCTTGGCAATAAAAAACCAGCATGTACACAAGCATTGTCAAATTAGATACATGAAAACGGAAAAAAAAAAGTCAATATGTAATGAATGTATCCATAAGGAGAATCTCCACCAATGGAGAGTAAGTTAAGAGAAAGCTGTTTGAGATGGTTTAATTATGTACAGTAAAGAGCTGTGTAAGCACCACTGTAAGACAGTGCGTCCATTCAAGTAAAATGAGCAAAAATTTAATTTTGTATCTTTAATTTAGAGTCGTTACAGTTAAAATGTAAAACTATACATATTGGTATAATAACAAAACAAAAGGAAAACAGAAAAGCCCAAGTGGGGAAAAAAAAATCCCAAAGTCCAAAACACAATGTCCAAAAACCAAACAAAACCCAAAACTCAAAGTTCAAGCCCGAAGTGTTCAAAAGGCACAAAAGAGAAATAAGAAAAAGAAAAGACAAAAAGTCAATCCAATGAAAATATGTGTGCTTAGTAAACTATAAAATGAAGTAAATATCCACAGGTCTAACATGTTGGCCCATATCAACTCACCTTGTATTAATGCTGATTGGTGGAGAATCAGTTCCGTCCCAAACAAGAGCCATCCAATTGTCCTTGGCAATCTCACAAACATGAAGTATCTTAACAAGGAGAGAACAATTTATAAGCAACAGGAAGAATGAAAGGGTATTCAGAGGTAGTAATAGCAATTTTATTTGTGTTCAAACCCTCACTAAGGATAAATTAAGCTACACTTTGGTTACTCATATGCACCAAAACGATACAAAAAATATCATTGGCTCACCTTGCAAACCAAATTAGCACGCTGTCCTTCCCTGATCTCTCTCAAGAAGGAGAAAGTATTTACTCCTACCAAGTGAAAAACGAAATGAGCTTTTCACTGTGATAAAAGGCATGATTTGAAACAAAGCAATCTGGCAGAAGGATAATGAGTGACATTATAAATCACCTTACTAAGGTCAGCCTAACCCAGTAGAGATTTTCCAAACAAACAAAAGCATCGCCAACTTCAGAATGCAAATATAACAGCCACCCTAGATTATGTAATGTCAAACTAAGGTTAGCCTAACCCATACCCAGTCCACAAACAACTTTGTGAATGCTTCTGACATTATAAATCACCTTACTCATTGGAGTCAGAGGCCTGGCATGCACATAAACATCAACCCACAATGATCATTGACCTCATTTCTTTTATGAAGCATAGGGCATGCATCAGAGAAAATGCACATTTTTTACTTGTTTGGAGATCCTCCACGAAATCCAAAACCACATTTTGAATTTTATCCCTGTGGATATCTTTTTCAAAAATCTCATGATTACGGGCATTTAATCATAATGAGAAAAAGGGCATTTAATTCTGGTTCTCAACCAACCACAACAAAATAGTTAATTGCTATTTATTGGTGCAAATAAGGTTATGCCAAAAATGATTTTTTTTTCTTATCAATAAAGTGTATTCTTGAGAATACCTTCATCGACCTGAAAGTCAACCAACCATTTTCTCAGGCCTGCTATAAACTTCGAGTCATGGTCTCTTCGGCGAAATATTGAAGAACATTGATAAGGTACGAAGTCTTCACCACTTTTTCCTTCATATAAAGCAAAAGAAGAAAATTTTTTATTGAAAAGAGCATAGACACCATCATTGTGAGGTTTCATCTGCATAAAAACATGCCCTATATTTCAGCAGACTTGAATTTAAACATCATTAAGTTCATAAGAGGTGCTACAAGTATGAAAAACACCATGTTGTAACGTAAAAGGCAACAAATATCTAGAAAGAAAAAAAAGACAAGTATTTCATTAAAATTAGCAGAAAATTGAAGCCAAATGATAGGCCTTCACCCTACTCCAACATGGGGTGGCTAACAAAAAATAAAAAAGAAAGCGGCTTTAAGTCCCTAGAAACAAATTCAACAAAATATTCTTTACCGCACTTAAAATTCCACGTCAGATTTCTGCAGGTTCGCTTAGTTATTAGAGTGGACGGTTGAGAAACAAGAGAAAAAAGACAAAGGAAAAAAAAAATCTGCCTCTCCTTCCCACATGCCCAATTAAATCAAAATTCACAAACATCCACAAAGAAAACAACTTGCAATGAAAGAAACCATGTGTAATCCTAAAACAAATAACACAACATTGGAGTATTATTATTATTATTATTATTATAAAAGATCATATGTATACCACGACACGAGAAAGTTGAATTATATCTCCAGGTGACCCAACACTAGGAAGATTTTCCACACTTGCCATGAAAACATTGACCGGAATTCCAGGTTTCGGATAGGATTCATCAACTATTTTCACTGTACAAAAATAATCTGCAAGCAGTAATCGATTTGTAAAACTTTGTAATAAAAAAGGAAAGAAAAAAATCTATAATATAAACAAAAATTTGTAAAAATTAAAATAACAATAATAAAAAAAAGGAATGGCTCAGAACAGACACCTTTGCTTGAGAAGTTCATCAAACTACTACCGACCGTAAAAAAATAATTAAAATTATTCTTCTGGTAGCAGCCGTAAGTCCGGCCTTTTTTATCATCATCGCCACTCAAAAATCAGGTTTTTCTTATTAATTCCGACAAAAATAAAATCTCCGGATTTTTTAAAAATGTAACCGTACCGGTTCCTCTGGTTGTTTTGGAGAAACCGAACTCGAGAACGAAGTCGGTTAGATTTAATTTCGAAGAAAATAAAATCTAAATTAGGACATTTTTTAAAAAGTTAACCGTACCGGTTCCTCTGGTTGATTTGGGTAAACCGAACTCGAGAACGACGCCTATTAGATTGACTTTCTGGTTGATTGCAGAAATGGCGTCTTTTATTTTCAGAAATTTATAGTCGTCTCTGTCTTCCATTTCTTCTCCTCTCTCACTCACTCTCTCTCTCTCTAGTGTTTGTTATGTGCTCCCTCTGTTTATTTATTAGGGTTTTTGCGGAGGGAGGGAGACGCAATTTTTCAATTTGGGATTCAATTTGAAGCACGTTTTTACCTTTCTGTCCGCCCCTCGTTCCAAAATTAAAGGCAGAATTTCGAATAAAAGTTCTCTCTCTTTTTTTTTTCTATAAAAGAATTTTGAATAAAGTTTGTAAATACATTTTTTTATTCGATATCCTTTCACAGTTTATTAGTCAATGGACACTAATTTTTTTTATACAATTTTAAAAATGTCACTGTCATATTGATTTAATACATCTAAAAAGATTTAATAAATTTTTATAAATATAAATTTTTAAATTTGAACCCTAAAAACAACAATAAAAAAAAAAACCAAACATATATTATGTATACGACAGAATGAAATCCTTGCTTGACAGGGATGCCTGATTCGAGCACGTTGAAAACCATGAAAATTAACTAGTGGTTTTTTATTTCATAACTTCGGTCAAATTTAATTTATTTTTTTAAGACACAATACTTTGCAATCTTATTTTTTCATAAATTACACTTTAAATCTTCCAAATAAAGTATGAAAAAACTAAAATATGCTCATATATATAATTAGACTCCTAAAGCTACGTATTTTCTCCACTATTCCCACACAACTGTTCTTTCTTCTCTTCTTTATTTTTTGTCTCTTCGAAAAGAGAGAGAGCTTAAAAAAATCGATTATTCAGCTAATTTTTTTAATAAGTTTTTTTTTTCCTTATGTTCTACTTGATTGAAGGTTTTTGTGGCTGTTTGAAGTTGAATTAAAGACGAATCGAAACTAAATAGAAGATATGTGAAACCTTAACCCTAATTTTTAACTTTTTAATCAAAAATGTATTTAACACATAAAATGTTTGAATTGTCTTTTTATGTATGGAATTCCTAGCAAAACCCACAAAGAATATTGTGTTTTTAAATTTTCTAAATTGTGTTTCAAAATTCTTAGAAAAAACCTTTATTGTTTAACGTTGATTTTTTTTTGTTTGAAATTAATTATTTATGTTGTAATTGATTGTTTCAAGCAAAACTCCTAAAACAACTATGGTTTCAAAGTTTTTTAAGTTGTTAATTTGTTGAGCAAGTTTATGCATCAAATTGGGAGTTTTTGATGACTTTGAATTTTCACTTTTTATGAGAAGAAATGTATTATTTTGTTAAGACATGTCACAACACGCTATGTTGCAAGAACATACCAACATCCCTCGTTACGTATAGAAGATCAAGAAAAGGTGTTTATTTAGTATATATTAGAATTAGGTCACATTCACGAAGCTTAAGGTTTCATTTCTTTAGAGAGATTGAATTAGACTCGCATGAGAAGCAATTAGGAAGGCAACAAGATTGAGGCCAAAACCCTACCAAGTTGTGCCAAATATTTAACTCCGTCACTTTTGCATTCTTTTAGTCAAGCAAAAGCTATGGTAGAACTTGGGAAGAAATTGGAATAAGAAAGTTGTTAAAACACAGGATGATTTGAAGCTATGAGAGGTAATTTCAACCGATAATCTATCCTTCCTATCTTGTCTTCTACCATGAAAAGACCATAGTATCGCAGCAGAGCTTATGGAAGCTTCATGAGACTACCGAATGTTGTTCGTATGGTTGTAATTTTAGGTATATCCAATCCAATTTCAAATTAACGCTTTATTTAATGCTTGTTTGTGAGCTAGACCATGTAATTTTGTGCTTGCTAGAGGTTCTGCTTTAAGTGCTTGGAGCATAGCTTCTTTAGAGGAGAGGTAAGGATCCACGACTTCTACTAGGAAGTCCTTTGAAAAGTAAGGTAGGTGAATGGCGGGTGAAAACCAAGTATAACACATCAAAAAGTGTTAGTTTAGTAAATGAATGAAAATTAGTGTTATACCACCATTTAGTCATAGGAAGCCACATAGACCGCTTGAAAGGGGTATTTCTTGCCATACATCGTAGGTAGGTCCCTAAACATCGATTAATTACCTCTATCAAACCATCGGATTGAGAGTGATAAGCTATAAAGTAGCACAATTCAACACCCCGAAGAGAAAGTAGCTCTTTCAAAAATTACTAAGAAAAATAGGGTATTTGTCACTCATATTTGAAGTCGGTAACCCATATAGTTTGAAAACATTGTCAAAAAATAACTAAGCCACCGATCGAGTTGTATATGGATAAAGGAGGCTCATAAAGCATGCATATTTGCTAAGGTGATCTACCACCATAAAGATCATTGTCTCCCCTTTAAATTTAGGAAGCCCTTCAATGAAATCTATGGATATGTTTGCGAAGATTGTCCGTGGTGTATGAAGTGGTTTCAATTGATTAGGAGTAACCATTAGTTCGGGTTTTTTACTTGATAAATAGGGCAACTCCTTATATATCGCCTTACATCCTTCTCGTCGCCCTTTCCAATAAAAAACACATTCCAATTTCTTAATTGCTATAGTCATGCCAAAGTGATCCCTTAGGGTAGTGTCACGAAATAGGCCTAAAATATGTATTTTCAACTATCCATCATTATCCATTACTAGCATTTCCTTCCTCATAAGAAATCCATCCTTTTATTTGTAACTAGGATGAGTAGTAAGGTCTACCACAAGGTCTCGCCAATAGTCTCCGAATAATGGAGTTTGTTGCTTAAGAATTCCTTACCCTCTATAGTAAATTAGAAAAAAAGGTAGAGATAGCTATAGAGAGAATTTTAGAGCTAGGTACCCTAGATAGGGCATCCGCTATATTTTCTTTACCCTTATTGTATAAAATTTCACAATCAAACCCTAAAAAGTTTGGCTAACCAAGTATGTTGGCTTGAGTTAAACAAATTCTCGCTCTAGCGAGTATTTCAAACTATGGTAGTTAGTCTTAATTTTAAAATGCCTTGATCCTAGGTAGTGTCTCTATCGTTTGATAGCATGTAGGATTGCTAATAATTCCTTTTCATAAGCCGAGAATGCCTCATGTTTAGGAGATAATGCCTTACTCGTTGAAGCATTATCGTTGTAGGCAATGGAGTGTTAATGTTACATGAAAATAACACCAATTCTAATGTCTGGAGGCATCAATTTCTATGGTAAACTCATTAATGAGGTTTGGTATGACAAGTACTTAAGGCTAAAGTCATTATTGTTTTAAAAGCGAGTGTTAAAAGCTTCTATAGCCTCGATTAGTCCAATTAAAATCATCTTTCTACAACAAAAATATGAAGGATTTACTACATAACTCACATCTTTTGATAAACCTTCGATAATATCCTATCAAGTCCAAAAATCCCCGAACTCGTTTTAAATTTTTAGGGATACGCTAGTCCACCACAACTTGAATTTTTTCAAGGTCGGTAAAAACACCTTGGGCCGATATGTAGTGCTCCAAATATTCAATCTTATCAATACCAGAGGCATATTTACTCGATTTAGCAAATAATTTATGGGACTACAAGAGTGTCAAGCATTGTCTTTAGGTGAAAAATACGATCCTCGAGAATTTTACCGTTGATTAAAATATCATTAAAGAACACTAATACAATTTTTCTCAATTGAGCCCTAAATATATAATTCATTAGGATTTGGAGGGTGGTTGGGATATTAGTGAGACCAAATGACATAACTCAAAACTTATAAAAACTATCGTGGGTTTTGAAAGCTATTTTAGACACATCGAAAAGGACATATGAATTTAGTGGTATCTAGATCGCAAATCAATTTTTAAATAGATTACAACCCATGTAATTTTTCTAACAACTCATCAATTAAAGGGATATGGAACTTATTTTTAATAGTGATGTTGTTTAAGGCTCTATAATCAACTCATAACCTCCATTAGCCATCTTTCTTTTTTACCAGGACCACTGGAGAAGCAAAAGAGCCGACATTATGCTAAATGATTCTTGTGGTAAGCATGTTGCATCAATTATTTAGCAACAAGGACTATAATGGCTAGATGATTTGGTCGTTGTCGACTAGTATGAGTAGTTGGCATGTGTATGGTTTTTGAGTGGTTTTTTTCTTTTCTTTAATTATTTTTTTTTAATGTAGGTATTATTAGTATTGCCTTGCTTAGGAGCTAAATCATAAGCTTTAGTGAGGGTTTGAAGTTCAAACAATGAGACCGACCATGTTCATTTTCTCTTGATCCAATCAAAAACATGCTTAAGGTTTGTTGCTCATTGATGGTAGCTTTGTTTCACAACACATCAAACTCATATATATATATATATATATAGTTTGAGTGAGGGTTTTTAATCGACGTAAAAAATCTAATTTTACTCCAATTTTGTTTGTCATTGCAGCTATGTACTCATTCTAATGCAGCTTTCCTATCCAAACTTTGTGTGTATGCTCGGTGCCGGTGCAATGTCCTACCATCAAGAAAGAAGGAAACGTACTAAACCTTTTCATATTCATCCATGGATTCAACATCGAAAAACTTTTGTTGATGCCATCCACTTCAAATACTAAAAAGTCTTTTTTGGCTTCGAGGTTTATAGTAGTGGTTAAACTTAGGACATGAGTTATTGAGCTTGTGAGGAGTATGGGTAAAAAAGTTGAGGAAAAGGAAGAATCATTGTAGTGGTGGGTAGGGTTGGATGGTGAAGGTGTGGTTGGAATACCTTGTTGGTGTGAAAGAAATGGACTAGTAGAGCTGGATGGTATTTGATGTTTGGATGAAGAGGCCATCATGTAGTCAACAGGTTTTAAAGTTTTGTAAATCCCTCTTCTTATTGTTTGTGGATTTGTTCTCATTTTTCTGAGTTATTTTTTAATCCTTTGAGTCATTTCTTCAAACTTTTTAGGAGTGTCTTGAGCTAAGACCTTAAAGGCTTATTCTAGCTTATAGAGATCATCACGTTTTATGTTTTTTGTCGGGCTGATGATAGTCCAAGGAACAGAAAGTTCTGATGCGAGCTGATAAAGGTAAAGAAGAAAGGAGAAGAAGAAGGCAAAAAAGAAAGGAGGGAGGAAAGAGGAGTGAAAATAAAGGTGGAGAAGAAGACAAATTCTGTTAATACTATTTGTATTCTTTCTTTTTGGCTACTGTTTTATATCTAGACAAGGCATAATTTGACATATAAATACTAAGCAGGTCTATGCTAATATTAAATATTCAAGCGTAGGGATAACTTAAGCCTACAGTGGCATCATTAACCCAAAATCCGAACCAAGCATTAACTAACCCAATTTCACATAAGGCTGTCAAATCCCTAATTCCCCAATTCAACTCCAACTCCCTTTTCATGTATCAAAATCTTGACAAGAGTTTCAGTTATAAGCGAAATGGGATATTGTTGACATTTAAAAGAAATTCAGGTGTGAAGCTGGCACCTCAACTTGCCAATGTTGCTGATGGTTCCTTTAGTGTAGTGTTCACATTTGAAGAAAAGGTTTTCGACATGGTTCGTAAAGGTAAAAATGTATGTTTTATTTTGAACTTTTGGTTGCTTTGGATATTTAGATAATAATGAGTTTTGCAATTATTATTTAACCCTGAAATGGTCAGTTTCTTAAAAATTCTATGACAGATATGTTTCTGAATCTAACATGTTTGTTTTTAACTATTTCAATGTATTACATGCAGGTAGCACAAACAAAAATGCTTTGAAGACCTTTATTTGCTGAAGCATAGTATTTCAAAAAATATAAAATATTTTTTGAAATAATATTTTAATATAAAAAGTGTTCATTATAATTTTTGAAAAGTGATAATGTAAAATGGTTATATCAAGATGTTTAAAGTAATTCAACTTTTTTTTTTAAATAATTGAATTACCTAAATAGAAACACTTTACTTCCTTTTCAGTAATAGAAAGTGACCGACCAATGACTTGAAGTCATTGTAGCAAATTGCAAGATGCAGGTTTTATTACCATTCCATGACACGGGACCGCCATGGTTAATCTGTTTTATGAGCTCCAAAACAATCAGACTTAACCTCAATACCATGCCATTCTTTTCCACCATCTCACAAAATTGTTTCCAAGTAATCTTCAACTTTCATATACGAGTGCTGAAAAGGGAAGATAATTCTCGAAAGGAAAAACTAAACCAGCATGTTCTATGGAGTAGCAAAATAAAAAACAAGGAATGAAATACAAATAAATATATTAATAAGATAAATACCTGTCATCCTATACAACCACAAGTTGCCAGCAACAGCCCAATCCTTCCTACTGCATTGTAAAAACTGAAAAAACCTTCCTACTAAATTAAAGACTCAAGAGCAATGGTGAATGCAAAATCACTGAATTTTTTGCATAAAAAATCCAGTACAAAGGGCAGGCTCCCTCTTCCAAAAGACACTGAATTGTTCAGCCATGACTATCGGGGATTGAATAATTATGGCAGAATGCAATGGAGTCCTCTACATGCTAATACCTTAATAAGGGCTCTTCCAAATCTGTTCTTCATACTCGGTTGTTGCTTCTTTGGGGCACTTGCAATTGCACTTTAGGCAGACTTTATTCCTACTGAAATTCAAGAAGTCACACCTGCAAAAACGGAGAGCAAAAGAGTTAAATAGATCTCTTCCTGAAAGACACTCAATGATGAGTGAGGAAGACTCACGATGGACAGTGCCACTCTCCGTTCATTCTTTTGGGGCGTTCACAATTGCACTTCAGGCAGACCTTATTCTTACTGAAATTCAAGAAGTCACACCTGCAGAAACAGAAAGCAAAGAGTTAGATCAATCTTCTCCTGAAAGACAAACTCATGAGTGAGGAAGACTCACGATGGGCAGTTCCACTCTCCCGTCTTTCTTTCAGGACGTGGATCTAGGCAACGCAAGCACCTCTTATTGCTAGCAAAATTCATGAACCCACACCTGCAAACAGAAAACAAGTGACATGGACAGAAGAATTTCAGAAATAAAACAATAAAATGAAAAAAAAATAAAGAATTACAATCCCATAAAAACTTAGAAGCTTTCAAGGTAGACAAATAAAGACTATATGAAAGCTGGAGCACATCTTTCATAGGCTTTCGTTTTGTGTCTTCTATTTTTCCATGCATTTTTTTTTTGACATAACACTTACTATAAACAAGAGATTTAATGCCAATGGTTCGTAAGGAGGATATACAATTTATAACATTGGTTTTTAATGCATTTGTGCATTCTTTCATAAGGTAAATTCCTTTAACCATCCACCCAAAAAAATCTTATTAGAATTATTGATGACAAGGGCTATCAATGAAACTATGTTGTGATGTCATAAATCAAGAAGCCTCGCAATAGGGAAACAAAAATGATTTACTGGGGCAATCATATGCCCCCAATATAAATGGCAGCCATGCATCTTGTGTTTAACATAAAAAGGTGGAAAGAACAGCCTTGCCAGAACATCCACAAACCCCTCTTCAGAAGTACCAAGCTTTCATACTTTCAAAATTAATCAAACAAAAATCTCATTAGGGTGAAGAACACATTAATTTCTCCTCATATGCTAGAATCACAAATGTCAATTGTATATATGCACATTGAACTTCTTAGTAGGACAAAAGACAAGGTTAACTTACTTGTTGCAATTCCAATCTCCCTTCTTCATTTCCACATCATCTACACTGACCCTCTCTGGGCCATCTGCAGTGCAATTTAGACATTTTATATTTCTAGAAAAATTCAAGAATTCGCACCTGCAACATAAATGGAATGTATCAGTTAATGGATTGAATGAGACAGAGGATGTAATAGGCAATGCAACAGGTTTATGATATTGACTCAACTGCAGAAAATGGAGTTCATAGATTATTGCACTACAATCCAAAATAAAAGCATCAAAAGGATTTCCTTGGGCTCCTTGATCAGTAATAAACAGAGTGATCTGCATCAATTCAGCCAACAGGTAAGAAATGTTTGACATGCAATAACTAGTGGGGTAAGCTTCAAAGGCCTCCGATCAATTTTTTTCCCCTTAGATTTGGTTTACCATGGGCCACCCTGCAATATAATATAATTACAAAGACCTCCCTCTAGTTTCTAGAATCAGACTGGTAGGTTGTACAGATTACTCGATTTGGTTAACACCATGGCTCTTCTATCTTTACAACTCACACATAGAATAGCCATTGAGGTTGTTGAACTTAACAAGACATCCCTGTGATCTCATAATACTGTAAGATTTTACCCTTGTCTGATTTGAACAACATTATAGGTTCCTAAGAATTAGCAAACCAAAGTTTTTACCAGAAATTATAAAAAAGAAAAGAAAAGTAAAACGATCTGAAAATACATCAAAATATCATAAAAGTGGCATGAACATTTATAAGACAAACGAATGCCCCCTGAACTAAATGCTCTAGACCAATCTTTCATCAAGTGAAGGAGCAGTTTTTTATCCAAAAAAGTTAGCAATTTGCATTAGCTGCCCTAATATTCATGCGGAAACTGGCTTTATTGGAGAAAAAAATGGTACCAAAAAAAATCTACATAAATAAATGGGTTCCTGAATCTAGTAAAGGAGCTCCAAAGGCATAATGAAACTGAACTAACAAAGAACAGCACATATCATGTAATAGCTAAGATTGTAAAATCAATCATGTTTCAAAGTTCAAATATTGGTTCTTTTCCCCTAAGACCATCGAGGATAGAGCAAAAAATTTGAAAAGGCCAGGTAAAGAAAATAAGATGATAGGGAGCTTACTTAGAGCATATCCAATCTCCTTTCTTAGCTTCCGTTTTGTTATTATCTTTCTTCTTTGCACTCTGTTCACCACATTTTCGGCATCTTTTGTTATTTGAGAAGTTCATATAGTTGCATCTGCAAGAACATACCAGGGATGTCAGTAAACAAAATGCAAAATTTTTCAGTGGAGTGTCACACTGTGGCTGGTGTATGCACAAGCATAAAAAAACTCAATTAAAAGCAAGAGAAAAATGTGGCATTAATACAGTGCTGCGTGTTATCTTCCAAACAGCCACCTTCTCAAGAAAAAAGAAAAAAAATATTTTGTTGTAACTTTTCATATTACTTAAGCATCAGTGATGTTCATCTCATTTTGAAACTTATATAATAAGTTTTGGCTTCAGATTCAGATTGACCATCCACATGCATGTGCACTCCCTTGTGCAAAAAATGAAGAAAGCTCTAGCATGCATGCATTTGAGCACAAATGTGCCCCTCCTATAATCTACATTCATCAAGGTCCAAGAGACAATGGACCTTCTATTCAGACTTAGTCACAATAGACGACTGAATTGTTATTGGAGACAAAGTCATGGACATCATTTAAGTGTAAGTGTCTGGGGTGATTAGTGGTAAATTACTGAAAAAGAACTGGCCTCGCATGGGGCACAATGGATGCAAGGGAATGATACAGAAGACATGAATCTTATTCCTTCTCAATACCCCCTAACTAAACCCTTTTGATCTTTTGACCTCAAGTTCTCAACAGCTAAAAAGTTCAAATTTAAGGCTAAGCAATACTTCAAGACTGAAATGATTCCATCATCTTCTCTTTGGGCACATACCTTCATGATGTAGTTGTAAAGCGTACATGAATCAACAATAAGTTAGTATTGCAAGTACGGATGCAATGTTTTAACTGTGGTGCTATCCAAAATAGATGCAACATAAGTATATTATCCAGAAATTGTTATAAACCAAAATAACATGTCAGGATTGGGGTTACATAGAAGAACTGAGAACAAAGGAATCTTTTCCCAAATTCCAAACAGCAGTCGTCCAGAAATCTGTAGCGGTGTTAATGAAAATACCACAAACATTAAAATAGAGAAAATGAAATTCTAATATGCACACCAACAAATAGAATTCCTAATACGGCCATGCATCTACTTAAGCCATTATGCATCATAAAGTTGATTGGTCATCAGAATTTTTGCATATATATATAAATTCTCCACTGATCACATCATTCAAGGAATTTATAGAGCTACATTTAAGTATTCTCCAACTGTCACTTACTTGATACATATCCAATCTCCCTTCTTCATTTCGACATTTTCACACAGTTGGCCATCCATTAAATCCACATCTCGCTCCTTCTTATGGAAGGCTTTGGGAGTATGCTTTGGTAGTGCCGTGTCAAGGGGTGTCTCACTGAATTCAACCAACTCAGAAAGAAGCTTCCTTGCGGATGCTTCAATGAGCTCACTACCAGGAGATTTCTCTCCTCCTGAAATAACAAGTGGATCTAGTGCATAGAACATTAAGACCCGCACTATGTCCAAGGTACGACCCTCAGCTTCACTACCCTTTAGGATCACATAAGCTCTATCACAAGAACCCCGCTGACTACAAGCACCACAAGCCTGAAAGCAAGAGTTTTAACAGTTTAGGAAACACAATGCCTTCTGACACTTGAAAATTTCTATTGAAATCCATCTTTTCAATCACTAAACAAAATTAAAAAATGATAAGCAACATACATCCCCTTCATCCTTTTGCACGTAAACTCTCATTCTTTTAGATGAATTTACAGCTTTTCGAAGAAGACTAGGACATCCACTCCCCACAACTGTTTGAATATCAGGTATAGACAATGATCTGCATCAAAGCACTATTAAATAAAAAAATAAAATTCAAGACCTAATAAACATTTCTTGATTTTCAAATATCTAAAATCCAAAATCTCAATCTTTTAATCTTCCTTCTTTTTACACCACTAATCAAATTCCAAATATGACTGAAAAAAAGAAAAAAGGTTGCTTACTTTAAAACATCATATCTGTCACGAGCAAAGCTAAGACAAGCATTCTTGAGCTGATTCATGTCAGTGTAAGCAATCTCGCTTGTAATATCGTCATCCCCTGAAGTTTGCATGAAGTAACCCCTGGTCTTCAATTGATCAACAAAAGTGACCCACTCAGGCCACGGATGTTGTTTTTGTTTCCTTTCTTGTTGAAGGAAGCTCAAGTTTTCTGTGATATCATTATCTGCGGTAGCTGTGGCAGCTCTGGTTGCAGCGGAGGAAGCACAGTAGAGGTGGAATTGGAAGGAAGGGAAGGGTTTTAAGGAGAGAAATGGAGAGAGAGTTTTGTGGGGATTGCCATTGTTAGTTGTGCGAAGGAGGAGTGAAGTGCCAAAGAGTAAGAATCTTGACGCTGATGACATTGGTGGAAGGTAGAAGGAGGAGATGAGAGTTTTGCAGGGTTTTATGCTATGGCAGCAGAACTTAAGACCACACGCCTGTTTGGGCTATCTATTTGGGTCATGGCCCATAATTCCCCAATTCAACGGAAGGCTAACAAGGAGGAAGATCACGCCTGTGTTGATCGGTAGTTTGGCACCTATTATGTTGTTTTTGTTGGTTTAGGAAGCAATTTTTTATTTTATTTTAGACTATTATCGAAGTATTTTATATGTTAATTCAGATTAAGTCATTTTTTTGAGCGATCTTTAAAGTGTCTTTTCACATCGATTTGTTGTATTTAGAAAATAATAATAATTTTTTTAAAATATTGACATCAAATTTTAAACCTTAAAAAGTCTAAAAACAAAACAAATCTTCTTAACCACTATATTAATTCTTTAAATTTAGTTTACAATATAATAAATATGATACTTTAAAATGTATTTTATTTTTTTTGTAAGATAACAAGAATTTTTTTATTAAAACTATACTTAATTGTTAATAATTACCATAATTATAAAGCAATAGTTAAATTAAGAAAAGATTGCATTAAGTAAATTTATTTAACTATTTATAATTGTTTAATTGTTACCAAGTGAATAATATTTATTTTTCTTTTGGAGTCATAATTGGACGATAATATTAAGAGTAATTATAAAAAAAATTATTTTAAACACATTATAGTTTGAGTAGGACAACACTTTACACCATATAATTTAATAAATTACACTTTAAATTCTAAGCATTTAAATGTTATTTTTTAAAAAAATCTTATATTTTAATTTCGTTTATAGAAGCAGTTTTTTTGACAGAAAAATATGTTCTAATTATCATAAGTGTCGCACAATGACCTTTCGGCAATCTTAAAAATAAATTATTTGAAATTGGGAAGTTGCTATTGAGTTTTATTATAAGTGTCATTAGTTAATGTAGCCGAAAGCCGAAAATTAATCTAAAAAACAGATGGCACGACATGGCAACCGTACACTACGGTTTTGGATCACCTATCAGTAACACCATCATTCCCCGCAAAACCGACATTTCTTAAAGCAAAAATCTCAAAATAAAAATAAAAATAAAAAACCCCACATAAACCTCGTCTCTTCTTTCCAGATCTCTAGTCCTTTCCGTTCACAATCATGAGAAGAGCGTCGACTCTCGCCTCTTCCGTTCTATCTCGGACCCTCACCTCCACCCTCCACGAAGGTGGTGGCCTCTCCACCACCACAGCTGCCACCATCAATCACCGTTTCCTCCATGCTGCACTCTACAACACCACCAGCGGAACTGGCAGTTCCAACCCTCGCCGGATCTCCAATCCATTCTCCGCTTCTCTCAGTGTTGCGGGAGCCTTGGTCTCTGCCGCTGCGGCTGCATCTCTCTCACAAGAAGTCCTCGCCAAGGAGCCACCACCGGCCGAACTTGTGCCTAAGGAAGTTGTTCTTTACCAGTATGAGGCCTGTCCTTTTTGCAATAAAGTTAAAGGTCTCGTTTTTGTATGCAATTAATAAATAATATTGTGAATTTAGAGCTTTTTTAGCGTTATTGTTTTTAAATTTGTTATTATTATTAATTTTTTTTTTTTTTGGGTGATTTTGCAGCTTATTTGGATTACTACGATATACCATACAAAGTAGTGGAAGTGAATCCAATTAGCAAGAAAGAGATCAAATGGTCCGATTATAAGAAGGTGCCTATTTTGATGGTGGATGGGGAACAGCTTGTTGATTCTTCGGGTTGTTATTTCAAAGGGTTTTTGTTAATATTTTTGTTTGGATTTTGAATCGTGTTGATAGATTCTATTTTGGTGGTAAAAATGTTGGTTATTGATTTTGTTGGATTGTCTGTGAGCAGCTATCATTGATAAGTTGGGAAACAAGATACATGGTAAGGAAATTGTAGAATCTGCTTGTGATGAGGATGATGACGAAGAAAAAAAGTGGCGGAGGTATGGTGTCTCTCGTTTGAAGCTTAATTTTCTTTTTCGGTCATTTTGGTTTCTTTTTTCAATGAAGACAAAATGCATTAGCAGTGTCATAAACAGGGAATTTTATTTATTTATTATAATCATATAAAATGGGAATGTTTAAGTTTAGTGCGAGTTAGTTTTGCTGGCAATGCCTTAACCTTTGTGAGCTTGTTCTTTTTTATTGTGAAAAAAAAAAAACACTATTTTAAGTTTTGAATTTGGTGTTTTAGGAATAACGACTAAAAAGTAGTTTTGGACCTTGGCTTTTAAGGCACTCTTTGTGCTGAGTATTCTTAAGAGTTTTGAATGAGGTGGCCATGCTTGGACTTAAGCTCCTGTCTCTTGGGAGGAAATGGGGTTGCTACTACGAGATAAAAGAAGAGAGGAGGGAGGGGAGTAGTTTGCATTTCTAATTAATTTGGTCACCTATTTACTCTGGGAAAGTTAATAATCTGTGTAGGTATCTAGTTAATTCTAGAGTGGTGAAAAAGAAGGTCTTGTTGACATTATGCTGTTAAACTGTACATGTAACCACATGAAGCGTGCGCCTACATATCCATGCATGTGAAAATAAGTAATAGTATGCTGTATAAAACACATAACAAAGGGATATATGATGCAGGGAATATCACCTTAAATCTTAAAATTTTCTTTTGAATCCTATTTCTTTTTCTTTTTCTTTTTCTTTTTTTTCTTTCTCGATCAAATATATGAACATTTAAAAACTTTAAATTCAATCTTAAACTGTGTCTGTTAGGAGAAGGGTAATCTGGCCAACACATGGCTGCCGATTTGTAAATTTGCAAATGGTTTTAAAGAAAATATTTATATGCACATTGTGTTCCCATCAATTAGTAATGTGGATTTGTTTCCATGATTTTCATGAACTTAGCTTTGGAAATTTTCCTTTTGTATTCATGTCCATCAATATTTCTTGGGTCTACTGAGTCTAAAATATCTGTCAGATTTTTTATATGGGTCCCCAATATATACGTTTTCATTTCAGCCTTAGGTCCACTCCCAAAGTTTCAGACTTGGTAATCTATCAGTTCCAGCTGTGGTTCTTCTTTAATTTTTTATCAGATTGTGAATCTAATCGTGCATAAGATATGGGACAAGGACTTGTTCAGTCTTGATGCATTAGTTATGGGTGCCTTGTTGCATGAAAATTTAGCCTTGTAGCAGACTGATTGCAGTTGGGTAGGGTCTTTAGCTTGCCTTATCTCTCTGTGGTCGGTTTGAACTACCAACATTCTCTCACTTGAGTCTTTAACCCCTTTCTAGTTGTGACATCTTAAAAGAGGAGATAGAAAACCATCTAGCTCAAAAGTTAATACCCTCTACGTAGGCCATAAGTCAATTGCACGCATTAAATTCCTAAGACTAGGGAGAGTTTCTCTCACAGATTATGGTATATTCTTCATTGGAATCAAAGTTCTGCTTTGTTTCTTTCTTTTTTTTTTTTTTTCTTTTAAATTATTTTCAGCTATTTTACATGCCATTTGAATTTTGTATATTGAAATAGAAAAACAATACCTTTTTCATTCTCCAAAGTTGATTATTGTCCTACATAACTGGTGCATCTAACCTGCTGTAACTCTGTACACCTTGACATCTATGTCAATGTTTACTGGCTACTTCAGGGTTTTCCTAACGATCATCTTCTTTGGACTTAGATTGAAGATTTTAAATGTGGATTTGCTTGATTGAGAAACATTAAAATAGAGGACTTCAATAGAAATTCTTAAAAAGCTGGCTGACTAACTTTTGCATTTATTTCCTATCAGTGTTGTTTATGCATATAGATGACGTTAAGGAACATAAGCAGAGTTATGTCTGGTCACTGGTGATATGCATGCTTGTGACCTGTTGCATGCATAATTGCCTATGACCCAAGTTATCAGAAAATCAGCGCTCTCATGCTCCTGCACATACCATACATAGATAATTTGGTCAACATGTTTATTCCATTGTTTGTTGCTGTTCATTAAACAGCTGCTACTTGTCACATTTTTTTTTCTTTCTTTCTTTTATAAGCAAAACACTGGTAAAGTTTTTCTTGTTGCTGGCATCCCAAGACTAGATCTTGACATAGTTTTTATTGCCTGTTTAGGTGGGTTGACAATCACTTGGTACATGTCTTATCCCCAAACATTTATCGCAATACTTCTGAGGCTCTTGAGTCCTTTGACTATATCACAAGCAATGGTAAGATGATTCATAGATATGCATACCTAAGTGAAACAGTAGTTCTGCTATGGCTAACTCTTATTGGAATAATATATTTGGTGCAGTTTGTTCTTTTTCAATTTATGACTTTCTGCCATGCTCTACAATTATGTACCTAGTGGGATGGTTCCATTGTCGTTAAACCAGGAAAGTCTGGGATGTTTCTTTTGTATAGTATTTGCTTTGTATGCTTATGATGCCTTTGAAGAATATTTTAATATTTTTGGGAAACATGGTACTTAACTACTTATCATACTCCCACTTCTTGTGCATATTTTTATTCACGTGCATTTTCAAAACTTCTTTTTGTAGATTACTCAAACTTTGTTGCATTGATGATTATGGTGATAACATAAGAAGCTTTATAAATTCTTCAAAATATGCATACACTTTGTAAATCAATGGACCAAATAGATTAACATTTTCTATAGAACATTGCAAAGCAATGATTGTATCAAAGTTATCTGCACCTGTGAAAAAAAAATAAATTAACTTGCAATGCTCAATGGTTGAGAAGAACTAAAGTAAAGACCACTCATCTACATATACTAAACGCACTGTATTTCATGGGTAGTGCAACATTTAAGGTTTTGGGCAGTTCAATAGTAATGATGTAGTTCTTATTTCTTGACCTTCATCATGATTAGTTTCCCCTCATTGTCTTTTACTTAGGAAGTTAGAGTTGACCTTCATTATGTGTCTTAGAACTGTTGATAATGACAAACTTGTCTCTCAGAACATTTTCCCAGTAAATATGAAGGGAGAGAATATTTTGTCTTTTAGAGCAATCGTATTTCATGGGCAAAATTGATGAGGCTGGTATAGACGATTATGTCAGGATATTAGAAACAAAATGACTTGAGATCCATGTTTTCATTGGGAATTGCTGCGTAATTATACTTTTGGTAATCAGATCGTCAATCCCAAATGACTTGCCTTGAGTGTTTTATAAATGGTTATAATTTCGTCAAGCTTTAATTGATGCTGTTCTTGTTTTGATGCACTGTATCCCATCTCTCTTCTTCTTTGAATTGGTGTGTGTCATTATGAGAAACCTTTGAAGATCAGAAACATTCATAATCATATTGAATTGTTTCATCGGATAATCACAGCTACTCAATAACTTCCTTTAGTCATTCTTTTCCTTTGATTGCAAGGCACAGTTATCATTTTAATGTGTATTCATTTATGATTACTTAGGTCCTGAAGTCATCCTCATGCAGGTCTAGGTAACTTATTCCAGGTTGTTAATGTTGTTCATAGAATTATATCCCTTTAAGGTTCACACTCTCATTTTGTTTGCAGTTGTTTCTGAGATGGCATATGTTTTATCCAATAACCTGGATTTTCTTTAAATCTTCTCTTGTAAATGCAGGCAATTTTAGCTTTACAGAGAAAATCACAGTCAAGTACGCTGGAGCTGCTGCAATGTATTTTGTGTCCAAGAATTTGAAGAAGAAATATAACATCACCGATGAACGTGCTGCCCTGTATGAAGCTGCGGAAACATGGGTGAATGCTCTAAATGGCGGAGAGTTTCTTGGTATGCAGCTCCTGTTATATCATATCAATACAAATTAATACACATGACTCACATACTTTACATTATATATATATATATATATATATATATATATATATATATATATATATATATATATATATATATATATGATTTACTGAATTAATAAATGTGGCACATTCACTTTATGGTCCCTGTGTAAACATATTTTGGCATAAAAATTTGGTTACATGGGCTCGACAACTCTCTCAAAGCTTGAGATTCTGATTTTAGTCTTGCACAACCTTCCAAATTTGCCTTGTGATGGATATTTATGCTATGCCCTTTTATGCCGCAGGGGGGTCAAAGCCTAATTTAGCTGACCTTGCTGTCTTTGGGGTGTTAAGACCCATCCGCTATCTGAGGTCCGGTAGAGATATGGTGGAGCACACTCGAATAGGAGATTGGTACACAAGAATGGAAAATGCTGTAGGGGAGTCCTCAAGGATGAAGGCTTAGATTGGAATTTATCTTCAACAACCACGGTATTAAGTACAAAGGAAGCAAAAGATTTGAAAACGATTTCAATCATCTAAACAATTTTGTGATTGGAGAATTTGAAATTACAGCTCATTTTTTGGACGTAAAATCATAACTATTATACACATAATTGGTGAGAAAATAAAGAAAGTTTACACGTGGATTCTAAAACTACGCATGGGATCCTCGTATTTTTAGCTGGTACGTTACATAGCTGCCATTGTTTTAACTATAAGCGGACAAAAACTTCTTTGGATTGTAATTTCCATCCGACTGCACCATGTGACAATGGGACTGGCTATTTTTTCTTCCCTTGGGGAAATGATCGGGAAACATGCTGTTTTGGTCCTTTTGTTTGTTAAATAAGTTAATTTCGTAGCCTGTGGTTCCCTCCGTCCGCGGTGGCCGCCCCCACTCCCCCCTCGTTCTATTTGAATAGTTGAGTTCACAATCTGTTGGATTGTAGTTTATTTCGGTTGCTGCCGGAGCAGGTCCCAGAAGAGGTGCATCTGTTCAGTGCTTCAGCTTGAAGAGAGAGAGAGAGAGAGAGAGAACAAGTGGGTTGGAGGAGTTGAAGTGCGACTCCATTGTCACTGGTTTGGAGATGCATAATGCTTAATGGCAATATGATCTGCTTCCAGAGATAGCTATACTGATTTGTCCGATTGTTCGTAATTTTATTCTCAAATCTTCTCCTGTAAACGGTTCTTGCCCTGTTGCATGTTCAAGCTATATATATATATATATATATATATATATATAGTTCATATTTATAATTTATCTTCTAAAAGAAAGTTTATATTTAATTATGAGTTAATAGTGGCTGAGGTTCTATTATTTATTTGTCGTGTTCTTTTACCTTTTTTGTCTTAAGTTCATTTTTCAACATTTGATTTTTGTCGTAATCTTGTTTTTTTGTTAATTTTTAGACTAATGGTGTTAACTTTTTTATTTTTATTTTTCTATCATAATCTCTTTTTTATTTTTTACTTTTTTTATTAAATTTAAATAATTGAATTTTGAAAAATATAAAAAATAGAAAAAAGATGAAAATATATCCATTTGTGTGTATGTGTGTTTAAATTTACCTCGAAGTAAATTGAGTATAACATAAAATATTTATAGTATTGTTTTTTTAAATGTGAAGAGAGTTTTATTTGAAGTTTTAAATGATATTTATAATTTTATAATATTTCAAAAGAGTCGATTATAATTTACTTATTTTGATTGTATAATTTCTTTAATTTTTAAAATTTATCTAAAAATCTCTTTACATTTAAAAAAGAATGCTATAATATTTTATTTTATATTCAAAATTTTCTTATTATTAGAGAAATACACTTTAATGATTATTATAAATATTTTATTTTATACTCAAATTTTACTTATTATAATAGATACAAATTTAAGCCCATAAGGATATTTGGATGAATTTTTTTTTTCTACTTGCTGCATCAAAAACCAAATCACACTCTTAGACAAAAAAAAACATGGATTTTTCATCTATCTTTTTTCTCATTTCACTCAACTTTTTTTTCCCGGCAAATTCTGCCTTGCCAAAAAAATTTAAGCCCATAAGGATATTTGAATTAAAAAAAAAATTTATCTTCGTTTTTTAATTTTTTAAAGAGAATAACTTGATATATCTTCTTTTTATTTTATTTTTCAAATTTTATTTATTTGAATTTGTTAAAAAAGTAAGATTAATAATAAAAAAAGAGCGGATGAATGAAATTAAAACATAAACAAAAAGTTAATAGAGGAACATTAAAAAAAAAGAGCTTAAGACGAAAAAAATAGAGGGACATGGGAAAAAAGGAAAAAGAATAGAAGAACTTTTACAACTATTAACCTATTTAATTGTGATACCTATATTGTTTTTTTTTTTTCTTTTTTCCTCTCTCTCCCTTTTTCAGTTCAGTTAAATAAACTTTTATAATAATTTTTAAAATATTTCTTATATTATTTTGCTGTAAACTTTTAAAAATTGAATTGTAATCATGATTATAAAAGTGAAAAATATAACTGTTCATATTTGTTAAACTTAGTTTCTAAAAAAGGAAAGAGATTAATGATGATCTTAGTTTAGAAAATATCAAAATTTTAAATATATTCTTTAGATATTATAGAAAATGTAACAAAATATAATTTATTCAGAAGAAAAGAAATTTGTATTTTTTTTTTTTTTTGCAATTTAAAAGTTAAAGCACTAGGAATGAAAATGGCACATTTCAGAAATTTTATAATACCTCTGTAAAAAAAAGATAGACACAAATATGAGAGAGAAAATTAAAAAAAAAATTTTTGAGTCAATATGAAAATTTTCTTATCACTTTTGATGAATTCTGATATGATTATTCTTTTTATATGTCTATCTCATTTTTTTAAAAAAATAATTGATACATCATGATTTACCTTCTTATCTCTGTTTCTCTCTTCTGTGAAGTTGTTCCTTAAGAAGATCGTGAATTGTTTTGATGAAGCTCCTCAGCTATTAGAGATATACGAAAAGAGAAATCAAATCTTTCAAAAATGAGAGGTAAGTTAATGGTTGAAAATTGATAAGATAATTGGTCCATCATGATTTACCTTCTTGTTGTTTTACTTGATTTTATGGGATTCTTTCTTCAGGCCACACTCAAATGTAAGGAATGCAATCTGAATTTCCTAGTTATATGTAATTTTGGCTTCTCTCTTCTTTATTTTCTTGGTTGGAGGTCGAGTAATGCTTCATTGTCTTGTATGCAACTCTACTACATTGTTTCACTGAGTTTCCATCGCATGTGATTTTTGTTCAGCTGCCACAAAGCAAAAGGCAGCTATTTCTACTCTCTGGTGTTTGCTTAAGCTGGCATATGGGTCCGATTAATGATGAGGGTCATCTTCCTCTTCCATTGAGAATGCTGAATTGAAGTTGGAATAGCAAAACATGATGGTTGAAAGGGACAACTGAGTCTCTTAACAGTGAAGTTTTATTAAATAAGTACCAAGTGATTGTATGATAGAAATTCCTCATGCTAGAAATAGACCCAGGCTTCCTCATGCTAGAGTACTGGAATTGATGTTGAAAATCGATGTAACAGTATGGTGAATTTGTAGTAGTCATGACATAATTGAAAGTCCATTTGCTAGAATTTGTAGTAGTTTTATTGAGGATTTTGACTTCGTTTTTCCATATCTAAACTCAATCTCAGCATTCTCATTAGCAATTGCATCCTGCCTAGGAACCATTGTAGTAATCTCTACATGATTTCAGGTGTTTAAGGAACAAAAACTATGACCTTGGCAGTTTGCTCCTGCTTTTTTTGTATCCGTTTTATTATGTCCAACTTATTGCATCAGTCTCCACCACTTAATGAGAACATACTTGGCACCCTCATTCTGTTCTTATTTTCATGGGCACCCTCCACCCTCAGCTTTTTTACTGACCTTATTACCAATGATTGTCTTCAATTCCCCGTATATTTCTTTCTTTTGTTTTTCTCACCCTTTTTCTCCTGATGATTGTTGTGCGATGAGCTATTTGTGGCTCAGCTTCTCTGCTTTTAGGTAGAAGATTGAATATCATTTGATGCGGTGGCATATAATCTTAAATCTAACATTTCTCTGCTCTTATTAATGGTATTGGTGGCAGCAAAACTACTCTAAGATTTGTTCGTCATCGGTAGCTACAAGTCAGAAAGTTGAAAATAGACTAGTTGGTTGAAATTCTTGCTTAGATGATTAATAGAATTGGTTTGCTTGGTGAATAACACCATGCATATTTGGGTAAGCTAGTTTTCTGCTTTCAGAACAACTGCATTTAGCAGCACAGTATCACCTTAGTACATGCAGTAGCAGGAAAGATCCCTTGACATCAATTTTTGCAGGTTCGAGCACATTTTCTTATCTCCAAGATGTAATTCTCTCCTCAGTTGTTTATGGGGTGTCCTAGTCTGGTGTGCTTTTTCTACAAAGCAGTCAGTGAGGGAATTGAATTTTCTTGGATGTGTGCTCGGGTGGTGACCTCTCTGTATCACCATGCTATAGTACAAAAACCCAAGATTCTATAAGAAACGATTTTTTATATCCTCTAAACAGTGGGGGACGAATGAAGATTCTTGAGATTGTATTTCATTACTTGGATCTTAAAAAATCATGACAAGTATTGTGGGTGGGATTTTGTTAGGGATTCATATAATGTATAGTCAAAATTATCATAAATGATTATTGGTGCCAAAAAAATCTTTATGATTCAATTGAAATCAACTAAACAATGCGCGTAGGATGAGAATGGGTATGATTCCTCCCCATAAAAAGGGCAAAAAAGGAAGGGCTGCATTTTTTTCCCATTAAAGTTAATCTTTTTTTTTTGTCATGTATTTTTGAAAGTCGAGTAGAATTAATCAAGTATTTTCTATAAATATATCAACTTTCTCTATAAAAAAAAGCATATATTTTTCTACTACTACTAATAACAAATTTATAATTAGTAAGAATTAAAAGTTAAAAACGAGTGGTTTGGGTAGAAGCTGGCTGGCTCTCTGTAATTTGTTGGGCAATTAAACATTCGGGTTTCTTGGTTGCAAGTTCATCAAATTCCCTATAGATTCTGTTGGCAAAAAGAAAGAGGTGAGTTTTTTCCATCATCACTTGACTAATTTGGAATTCGATTCAATTCCCATGTTTAGTTTTCTCTGCAAATCGGTTCTCCACTATAGGAGAGACACTGCTACACTTTCACCCACCCACAAGCTCTTTTCATTTCAACACTCGCCTTCTATTGTTACTCTCAGATTCTTCATCTCAACCTTTGAAAATCCAAATAAACAGTCATTTGCAGCCTCTTATCTCATAAGCAGATTTGGGTTCTCTCCAGAATCAGCCTTTTCAAGTTCTAAACGTCTCAAATTTAAAACCCTAGATAAACCTGACTCGGTGATTCACATGTTTGAGAACTATGGTCTCTCTCAAGACCAAATCTTAAAACTCGTTAAAAAATACCCACGAGTGCTTTCGTTCAGATCTGAGAAAACCCTTTTCCCTAAACTCGAGTTTTTTCACTCTAAAGGCATGTCAGGCAATGACATTGCCCACATTTTTTGTGCATATCCTCATCTTTTGGACAGAAGCTTGGAAAACCAGATAACTCCTAATTTTAACTTCCTTGCCAATTTGCTTCAATCCAATAACAAGACAATTGCTACTGCTAAAAGATACTCGCCTATTCTCTATCATAAAGCCGATACATATTTGAAACCTTGTATCAAAATTTTGGAAGAGTATGGAGTCCCCAAAATGCATATTGCTTCGTTGGTTTACCGCTCGCCTAGGTCTGTCATGATGTCTCCGAATCATTTCAGAAGGATTGTAGAGAGGGTGAGAGAAATAGGATGTGATCCGTTTAAGTCCAATTTTACTGTGGCAGTGTTGGTGATGAGTCAATTGAGCAAATCTGGATGGGAAAGGAGGTTGCGTGTTTATAAGAGTTGGGGTTGGTCTGAGGAAGACATCCGTGCTGCTTTCATAAAGGAGCCATGGTGCATGATGACATCAGATGATAAGATAATGGCAGTGATGGACTTTTTTGTTAATAATATGGATTGCGACCCTTCATTTATTGCCAAAAAACCCTATCTACTGAAGCCAGGCTTGAAGACAAGAATGATCCCAAGAGCTTCAGTTGTTCAATTTTTGCTATCGAAACAGTTGATTAAAAGGAAGCCTAACTTGGTTACTCTGTTTTTCTCTTCTGAGAAGTTGTTCCTTAAGAAGTTCGTGAATTGTTTTGATGAAGCTCCTCAGCTATTAGAGATATACGAAAAGAGAAATCAAATCTTTCAAAAATGAGAGGTAAGTTAATACTTAAAAGTTGTTAAGATAATTGGCCTATCATGATTTACCTTCTTGTTGTTTTACTTGATTTTATGGGATTCTTTCTTCAGGCCACACTCTAATGTAAGGAATGCAATCTAAATTTCCTAGTTATCTGTAATTTTGGCTTCTCTCTTCTTTATTGTCTTGACTGGAGGTCGAGTAATGCTTCATTGTACTGTATGCAACTATACTACTTTGTTTTACTTAGTTTCCATTGCATGTGATTTTTGTTCACCTGCCACACAGCAAAAGGCAGCTATTTCTACACCCTGGTGTTTTCTTAAGCTGGCATATGGGTCCATATAATGATGAGGTCATCTTACTCTTCCATTGAGAATGCTGAAGTTATGTAGGAACAGTAAAACTTGATGGTTGAAAGGGACAACTGAGTCACTTTACAGTGAAGTCTTATAAAATAAGAATTGAGTAATTGTATGATAGAAATTCCTCATGCTAGAGATAGACCTAGGCTTCTGAATCTAGAATATTGCAGGTGTTTAAATGTTAAGAAATGGAAGCTCCTTAGAACATTTCAGTTGGTTGAATTCGTTGGTCCTTATCTAAAACTCAATCTCAGTGTTTTGTTCTGTTCCTTATAAACATGTTACCTAGTTTGAAACTCATAACTGGTTTTTTACTGATTTTAACATGTTTGAAAAATGAGACTTAGCAACTATTTTCACATTAGAAGCATTATAGAAATTTCCATACGATACCTGTTGCATTCTTCCTTTTGGATGGACATGAACTTTTTTGTTTTTCCATTCTATCAATTTGCACCAGTTTCTACCACTTAATACTTCGCACTTGTTCTGTTCTTCTTTTCAATGGAGCGAGAATCAAGTATTCAGCTTTTATCCACACTTGTAAAGAAAGAATAGGGTGAAAGTTTTTTCACTGCTACCACCAATTAGTTGCATAGTTCTCTATTGATGATATGGCTGTAATGAAATTCTCTCTCTCTGTTTTTTTTTTCCTTTTTCAAATAATGTCTCTGTTTGTTTCCATAATAAGCTTTATGTAGCATAGCTTGTCTCCTCTTGCCGTTGAATAATGTTTGAAGGAGCAGCATATACGAATATAATCTTAATTTTTAATGCCTTTCCACTCATTGATTGTATTGTTGGCAGCAAGTCATACTGAGGTTTCTTGGTCATCAATAGCTACAATTTGAAACATAGTAAAAAAAAACTAATGTGATGACATGTTCTTGCATGTGTGATTTGATGGTGATTGAATTGGCAGCAAGTCATACTGAGGTGTCTTGGTCATCAATAGCTACAATTTGAAATGTAGTGACATTTTCTTGCATGTGTGATTTGATGGTGATTGAATTGGTATAGCTATTGAGCCTAGAGGAGAGACCTGTAATAGTACAATTTCTGTTATCATTAAATTTGATTGACTAGCATCTCAAATTGGTTACTCTGTTTAAATATTCTGAGAAGTTTGTAATTGTTTCGATGAAGCTCATCACCTATTAAAGCTATATAGAGAGAAATTATTCTTTAAAATATGACCTGAATTATACGACTCCATGAATGTTTACTTTCTTGTTATTTTACTTCAGTATGTTGGATATAAGAACGTATGATGAGTCTGTAATGCTACTCCAATGGCAAATCAATCTAAATTTCTTCATTATTTGCAATTTTTTAGCTTCTATCATCTTCACTTCTCTACTGCTATACTTGCCTGATTGTTTGTTTTGCAACTCTGATACTTTCTTTCATTTTGTTTCTTTTTTAAGTGTGTGTGTGTGTGTGTGTTTTTGTGTTTTTTTTTTTTTTCCCACTGCAAAAAAGGTTTCTTCTCTCTGGTGTTTTCTGGAGAAGGTCTAATGATTGTATCAACTTCCTCATCCACTCAGAATGCTGAAGTTATGTTACAATATTTGAACTTGAAAGACAGTCAATGGATGTCAAAGTTTGATTAACTAGGGATAAATCCTTGCATGATTTGGATTGGATTCCTTATGTTGGGACCAAGAAATTTGAAACTAGCATGGCGCAAACATAAAGTTCAACCCCATGAGATTAAAGCACCTATTAGCATTCTCCTCAATTGAATTCATTGGTCCATTATCTAAAACTCGGTTTCACTGTTGTATTTTTCCTTAGATTACCTTAGTCTGAGAATTGTCATTTGTGCCTTACAACTATAAAGAATGTCTCTATGTGTTTGCATGATGCCATAGTTTCTATCCTTTTCTGTTGAGGATTGAGGATTTGTATTGCTTGAAAGTAGGAGTATGTAAGATTTTGGTCCTGATTTAGCAGCTCTATCCTCTCATTGACTGTATTGTTGGCAGCAAAGCTTATAGAGTTTTGCTCATCATTGATAGCTACACTTTAGAATGTAGAAAAATAATTAATTAGATGAATTTTTTATTGTATGTGTGCTTGGATCATGGTTGGTGAATTGAACTGAACAGGTTTGGCTGCTGAATAACACCTACATCTTTGGTTGAGCCAGATTCTGAATCTGGAAATAAGAACATCATGTTTCTTCTAGAGAAAGTGAAAAAAAAAAAATTGTAATATTGCCGTTTTATTTAAAATACATCTCTCATATGTATATGAATAGGATCATTTGCCAATTGTATAGTAACATTAATTAACATTACTGAAAAAAAAAAATTATTAATAAATGATTAGAAAATGTTGAAGTAAAATTCTATTGAGTTGATTGTTTTAATTCTTATAACACATAAAACTTAAAATTACAATTGATCTATTTTCTTCAAGAAAAATTAAATTTAACTATAAAATAAATCATGGTCGTATCTCCAGCATATCCTATTTGTATCCCAATGTTAATTATATCTAACTATTGTTTCAGTTTTATAATAATTCTTTTTATTTTATTGTAAATTTATTTATTTATATTTTGATTAGGAAGTGAACTCAGGATGCAAAGGATGCCTTGTTTAGATACCCTGTGCAAAGAAGAGTTGGCTCTGTCATGTGCTTAAAAGCTACAGGAGGGTTTCTGCTGTTGCAAACAGCAACTTCAAGACAAAAACAAGAGATCAGTGTACAAATCTTTTCCTGCTCTGAGCTGAATTTGAATTCAATTCAATTCCCATGTTTTATTTTCGCTGCAAAACAATTCTCCCAGCTCTATTTTCTTCAACACTCATCTTCTCCTACTGTCAGATGCTTCTCAATCTCAAGCAACGGAAGTCCAAATCAACACACATTTGCTGCCTCTCTTGCCTTATAAGCAAACGTCGGTTCTCTCCAGAATCTGCTTCATCAGCTAGAAGACGTCTCAAGTTTAAAACGCCTGATCAACCTGACTCAGTAATTCACATGTTCAAGCACTATGGTTTCTCTTAAGACCAAATCTTACAATTCATTAAGGAATGCCCACGAGTGCTTGCGTGCTGGCCTGAGAAAACTCTTCTGCCCAGACTCCATTTTTCAAAAATCTAGAGGCATGTCAGGCTCTGACACTGCCTGCATTTTATGCTGGAGCACGACTCTTCTTTTCAGAAGTTTGAAAAAACATTTAACTCCTACATTTGACTTTCTTAGCGATTTGCTTCAGTCTAATGCCAAGATAATTGCTTGTGTTAAAAATTACACGCCTATTCTCTGTCATGATCCTGGAAGATATTTGAAACCCTGTATCAACATCTATCACATATTACCTTGTCTGGCCGAGGTGTATTATTTCAAGTCCAAATCGTATGAGAAAGTTTGTGGAAGCAGTAAGAGAAATGGGTTTGATCCTTCTAAGTCACAGTTTGTTGTAGCAGTGCTCGTAACGAATCAATCGAGCAAATCTTGATGGGAAAAGGAGGTTGGTGTTTATGAGAGTTTAGGTTGGTCTGATGGAAAGATTCTTGTTGCTTTCAGAAGGAACCCATGGTGCTTGATGGCATCGGAGGATAAGGTTATGGCAGTGATGAACTTTTTGGTTAGCAAAATGGATTGGACTCTTCATTTGTTGCAAAAAACCAACGTCACTTGCTCGGAGCTTGAAGACGACTATTGTATCTAGGGTTTCAGTTGTTCGATTTCAGTGGTCCAAAGGGTTGATCAATTCAAGCCTAGCATTGTTTTTGTGTGTTGAGAAGGCTTTCGTTTAGAAGTCTGTAAATCTATTGCTATTTTCGAGAAATCTGTCACTTAATGGCTTTAGTGATAGATTAGAAATAAAATCCATTTTCTGGCTAAAGTGGTGGTCATGATTTTTTAGGGATGCATTATTTTTTTTATTGCTATTTAGCGACAGATTTTTAATCACTATTTTGTTGTTATTCTGTCACTAAATAGTTTTAAATCAGTCATCTCTTACATCTTTTATCCATCATTATTTTAATTTATTTCCGTCGTTAAATAACGATGGATTGTGGATTGTTATTTTTTAGTCAATAATATTTTTGCAATTTTATCATTATTTAGCGATTGAATGTCATCTCGTCATTAATTATCATCTCTATTTCGTTGTTAAATCTATCATTATTTTTATTTTTTAATTTGTTTAATGAATTGTCATTTATTGGTAATTGTAACAACAAATAAATATAAACATCTTAATAAACATGTTATATTATTAAATAAAATTAAAATTATATTAATTAAAATAAAATAAATATATAAATGCGTTAAAATATACAAAAATATTTTTAAAAAAATTTAGTCCTCATTATTGTCATCTCCTACATCATCTTCAAGTTGTTTGTTATTGAGAGGAATGGTTGGTTGTTGTGTTTTAGGAGGGTCAGCAAGAGAGATGGGAAGGAGTTGGAGTTTCTCTAACAATCCCAATACTCTCTTCAATTGAGTATGCATGCTTTCAACTTTATTGGCTCGTTGCTAGATGGTAGCTTTCATCCTTTTGATCCGATTTTCATATTAGGTAGAAATTACCATCAAGATACAATGAAGTGACAAAGAAAGAGTCGGCGCGAGAATGCAAGTGACACTAGGATGACTTTTTGAGGAAGAAACATAAATTTTACATCCTTAGAGCTCCAAAACGTAAAATAGACTTTCTTGAAAATTAAATTGGACATCTTAAGCTTTTCATATTGAGTTTCAAAAGCATAAACCTATTTTGTTTTAGACTATCAAAACCAATTGCAAAGTCAAGACAGAAATTTAGATACCGTGTACAATTTGGAATGCTAATAAGTGTTTAGACTATATCTAGAGATATACACATTATATTCAAGTTATTCAATATCCTAAAGAAATAAGACATCTAGGAGTACAACTTTTATGAGAGTCCAAGTCAAATTTTGGCCGCCTTTTGATCCTAAATCAGTTCGGAAGTTTCAATAAAGAATTTAGAGCCCTATTTAGTAACAAGTCGTAATTAATTTTAGAAACAAGCCTAAATAAGACTATGTTAGCTGTCATATTTTATCTCTTTACACGTATAAACAACCTCTAGGATTGCACATTAAGGACATGCTTTTTTCATTATATAATTTAGGATTTATTGCTTCAAATAATGTCTAGCTAAATTTTCTTAACTCATTTTAAGGGATTTCAATTTCAATTTATAAAAGAATGTGAGACACGAGTTTAATCTTTAAACTATTATGGATTATTTAAGTATCTATTATTTCTATGTACTTAATTAATTGATCTCTAAATTAAATTAATTGTAATTGCATAGATTATTATCGAAGTGGCCAAATGGTTAATTGTCTATTGTGATTTATAGCTAACTAACTTTCTTAATTTGTAATTATTTCGAACAATTGGTACTAGTATCAAACTAGTTTTGATTACCTAAGAGAAACAAGAAAATGAATTAAATGATTTTAGGAGTCTTAGATTGTTATTTCATCTTAACTATGTTATTAATTCGTAAAGCTATTATTGATTTGACTAAAATTGTTTAATACCAAAATCAATTAATAATAAAAAATTAATTCATAAAGAGTCCTTTTAAGTTAATGAATATAGGAAGGATTCAGATTTATTTTAGTGTCTAGGTAAATCTAGATTAAGTATTTAATAAGAAAATAGTAATTTAAGTGTCTATGATTAATGTGCAAATTAAATCTTGGATTTTTTTCCTAGAATTGAAGTTTTTCTAAATTAAGTTTTTCTTATCTAAATTCGCTTTATTTTCACAACCTCGGCTTTGCAAACACACCAATCCCCCTTTTTATTTAAATAAACTAAGTTAATCATCCGGTCTCTAATGTTCAACATAAACTTACCTTTACTATAAATTTTAGTAATCAATAATTTAAATTTGGTGGGTTGGACATGCATAAAAAGACAAAGCATGTCAACCAAACTATTGGAGGAAAAAAGAAAAACAAGTCAATACATCCTAAACTTTTCAGCCTAAAAAGTTAGCATCACGAGTTGGCTCTAAGTCAACTTCTCATTATCGATTACTTTGGCTCCTATCCCCTTGCATTGAACTCGTGAACATTAGTTGGACTACTTAGATTTGAACTTCTTAGATAAGCAAGAAATCTCACTTTGGTTAAAGAAATTTATTTATTTAAATAAAATCAATAAACAAAGACATTTTATGAATAAAAGAAAGAGAAACAAATTTTTATTTTTAAAAAAAAAAGCTGTTAAAGAGCATTAATTTTCTTCTCAACTCCGACTTACAAAAAGCGACCTCTTGCTCTTTCATCTCTTTCAATTTATTCTTCAATTTCAATCTCATCTAGTTGTTGCACCATGAAAATAACACAGTAAATTAATGATCTCAATATGATATTAATAACAACAATCATTAAGATTAAGGAAGTATCCAAAATAAAAGTACACACACCAAATCACTTAAACACATCCATCTCTCTCTTCACCACCAACTTGTATTTTTTGTTTATGTTATGCTCATATGTTTCTTCAAACTTAGTTGGTATATAACAACAACTCAATTTTGACCAAATACCATTCCAATTAAAATAAATAAACTCGATTTAAAATCAAATTATTTCCTATTGAATAAAAATCAAAATCATCAACTAAATAAACCAAAAGGGGAAAAAAAATTAAAAACCAAACTAACCTAATTCAAATCTAAAGGAATTGATTCATGTCTCTTTAAACAATTATCAAAACCTTTTAAAAAGTTAGCTTTTGGACAAACTCCTAAAATCCAAAAGAAAAAAATATATATTTTTAATGGAATTAGCTAATTTTTTAACTATCAAAAGATAATACGATACATATAAAATCTTTCAATTAACCAAAAAAGTTGAATAATTTGAATAATCTTCAAGAAATTTCTCAAAATAATTTCATATGTTGTCAAATGATCAATTATAAGTCACCAAATTCTTCAATTAAGAAGATATATATATATATATATATATATATATATATATATATATATATATATCTCCTTCAAAGCGACCAGTTTTTTGCCTAAAAGGAAGAGCAACATACAACATACTATGGATCATACTCTTAGAGGAAAGTAATCTTGTAAAGGATAGTCTCATGAATACCCTTAAACTTGGTATTCGGGTGATGGATATGTATTTTTTGGATATCTTACAAAATTAATTTTTTTACAAAAAAGAAAAAGAAATCTCTAAAACTCTTTATCAAAACCAAGAAAAACACACATTCCTACCTTGTGGTGGTGAAATACGGACTAGTAGATGTAGCTACTAACCTTGATAAGAAATATTTTGTCTTTGGTCAAGAGAAGATGAGATGAGAGAGAGAATGCGTAAGAAAGAGTAAAATGAGATTTTATTTTGATGGTAGATAAGTAAAAGAGGTAAAGTAAGACATGTAGAGAGCGACAATTGGTTAAGAAAATTATATCTCTATATTGCATCTAGAAAAAATTACCAATCTAAACTATTATGCTTGCTTTAATTCTATTTAAAAAAAAAAAAATTGGGATAAAACAATAATAGCATAAACCTACTATTAGAATTTAGCATACAAAACAAAAGACCAAAAGAAGAAAACACAAAGAACACAAGCAAACAAGTAAAATCAACAAAAACAAATGAGTGATAGTCATAGTTGCAATTAGGAATGGTAATGGCCATCCTCATCTCGCCTTTGAAAATTTTACTTCATCCTCACCTCGTGCCCCGTTTAAAGTAAAATTTATTGTACCATCCCCGCCCTAAATAGGGATGGGGATCCCCGTGGGACACTCGGTGCCCTATCTAATTTTTTTTTCGTCTCAACTTATCCTATTTTATTGTTAAATTTCAAACTATAGCAAAAAAATAATAATTCATATAAAAAATAAATCTTAAAAGTCAATAGTCACAGACTTTATATGGGGTATAATTATAATTTTAAAAATAAAATGAAATAAACGAGACGAGACGAGTAAATATCATCCTCATCCTATTTCAATTCAAAATAAATATGAGGCATCCCGTCTCGTTACGTATTCAATACGAGAAATTCCTGCATTTACGAGGCGGGGCAAATTAGCATGCCTAATTACAATGGATCACTAAGAAAAGTTAAAGCAATAGTACAGAACAGTAAACTCCTTTTTTTTTATTTTTTTGGTGGGGATGTTAATTATGTCGGTGTTTAGGGCTTTTCTTTTTAGATTTTTTTTTTCCAGGAGCTTGGGCTGGTAGACAGACCCAGGCTGGGTCTGGGCCTAACGAGTGGCTCAGAGAGCGCCTGGGCAAGCCAGCCCTTTTTGTTTTTCAAGTTTCCTGACTTTTGCCTTTTTCTAATTTATTTCCTTTTTCGAGGTTTTTATTTCTTGAGAGGGAAAAAATGGGATGATGACACGTCGCAAGGGATTTGGGCGTCTCTTGCTAAAACTGGAGGGTTTTAGCCTTTTAGTCCGGTTCCCTTTTTTCTTTTCCTTTCTTCTCCGGTGGAAATTCGAGTTTCACTGCAGATTTTCTCTCAAGAAGGAGGTCAGTTTCGTCTACCACTACTTGAACTGAATATCATTTGATTTTGATTCCCATGTTTTACTTTTTCTGCAAACCCATTCTCCACCATGGGAGACGACATACTACTTCTACACTTTTGCCAAAGCATAGACATTATTTCCTTCAAAACCTATTTATCACTGCCAGATGTATCTCCAACGATGCGAATCTAAATCAACACTCATTTTCAGTCTCTTATCTCATAAATAAATGTGGGTTCTCTCCAGAATCTGCTCTCTCAGCTTCAAAACATGTCAAATTTGAAACCCCAGATAAACCTGACTCTGTGATTGACATGTTCAAATGCTATGGTTGTACTGAAGCGGAAATCTTAAAACTCGTTAAGAAACACCCACGAATGCTTTCGTTGAATCTTGAGAAAAACCTTATTCCCAAACTTGAGTTTTTCAGATCCAAGGGCATGTCAGGTGCTGATATTGCCGAAATTGTATGTGTAATCCCTCTTCTTTTAGGTAGAAGCTTGGAAAATCATATAACTCCAAACTTTGAACTCCTTGCTGATTTGCTTCAATCCAATGACAAGGCAATAACTGTTGTCAAAAGAAACCCACGTATGCTCTTTCATGATTGCGAGAAATATTTGAAACCCTATATCAACATTTTGCAAGATAACGGAGTTCCCGAACCACATATTGTTTCCTTAATTTACAGCTGGCCAAGGTTCGTCAATGTACATCTAAATCATTTTAGAAATAGTGTAGAGATGGTAAGGGAAATGGGTTTCAGTGCTTCTGAGAGAGCGTTTACATTAGCTGTGCTAATCTCCAGTCAATTGAACAAATCTGGATGGGAAAGGAAGGTTGGTATTTATAAGAGTTGGGGTTTTTCCGAGGAAGAGATTCTTGCTGCTTTCAGAAAGGAACCGTGGTTCATGATGACATCGGAGAATAAGATTATGGAAGTGATGGACTATTTGGTTAACAAATTGGATTGCAACCCTTCCTTTATTGCGAAAAACCCAACTCTTGTCCTGCGGAGCTTGAAGAAAACTATTAGACCAAGGGCTGAAGTTGTTCAATATCTATTGTCAAAGCAGTTGATTGAGAAGAAGCCTAGTTTAGTTTCACTGTTTGTACTATCTGAAAAGCTGTTCCTCGAGAAGTTTGTGTATCGTTTTCTTGAAGCTCCTCAGCTGTTAAAGCTATACAAAGAGAAGTTGAATATTTCAAAATGACATGGAAATGTAATAGTTGGAAAATGTTCAGACTCTTTATATGATGGCTTGCTTTCCTCTTGTCTTTGTTTGTTCTGGGACATACGTTTGAATGCAATTCCAGGGACAACCAATCCAAATTTCATAGTTGTATTTGCAATTTTGGATTTTCCAAACTTGTCTGTCTTGGTTAGAGCTTGATCATGATATGTGGTGACTGTTTGCTTGTCTGCATACAACTATACTATGTTCATCAGGTTTCTATTATAAGTGATTTTTGTTCAGCCACCACAATGGAAAGGCCAATGGCGTTTCCTTTCTCTGGTTCTTGCTTTAGAAGGCATTTGGATCCATTTAAAGATGGGGTCATCTTCCTCTTTTCATTATTATTATTTGGTTCACTGTAATCTTTCTCTTCCAGAATAAGTACATTGAAGTTGTGCTAATAATCACAATGGACTCGAGAACTGGTGTATGTAAAATTTTGGTTAAACCGGCATGATATGATGAAAGGTCTATTCCATATACTGGAGCATAGATCAAGTACTTAATATAGCTACAGAAGATTGAATTGATTGATCCATATCTAAAACTGAATCTCACTGGTTTTGTTTTAGCAGGGAGTTTGAGAGTGAGATGGTTTATTTAGAAGAAGCTTCCTGTTGTCAGTTGTTTCTGTCTTAACATGTCTGAGGAAATGAGATACAGAAACTGCATCCACATTGGAACTATTGCATTAATTTTCATTAGATGTCTATCTTTATGGACTGCTGTATTCTACCTTTCAGATGTTTAAGTTGCAGAAAATCAATTTAAATAAACTTGGGCCTCAATTATAAATTTGCGTAGAGGTAGATGGTTGCAGATTTTTTTTTCTTTATAGCATGTTCAGATAACCTCACTAGTTTCTGTTATGATGTATAGTAGTTAATGTTTTTTAGTCCTCGTTTTTGCTTGTGTTCCAGTTGTTGTAGGCAATAGTTTCTCTCCGCAGGAAGATTGAATGCCTCCATTTTTGTCTCATTGAAGATTGAAGATGATGGAATATGGTTTGAAAGGATGGCCTATAAATGTGTTCATCTTTAGTTCTGTAGCTCTGCTCTTATTCACTGTCCTGTCGACAGCAACTAGTCACAGAAATAACGCAAAGACCGGCTTGACAAAATATGCTCGAATTTGTATGTCATGTTGAATAAGATTTTGATTCGAACTTTAAAGGAAACTACAACGAGGAGTGTATTATTGTCCTTTTACTTGTACTGAATGAAGCCTAAGGCTTCAAGCATATATTCTTGCATTGATAAACGACTGGCTTGCCCGAGAACTCTGCCCATGTAACAGGAGTAAATTATAAATTAGTCCCTTTAGTTTCTAGAAGTGAATTGATTAGCCCTCTTTGTTTCAAGAAATAATAATTTAGTTTCTATATATTTAAATCTTCCTGTAAGTTCTTTTTTTTTTTTGGTTCTTTTTTAATTTAATTTATTTTTTTGTTTTAAAAAATAGAAAATGAAAAAAGAGAGTAAAAGATACTGAAATTTTGATATTTTTAAAAATAAAATAAAATATAATTAATGCTAGTTAAATAATTATTTAAAAAACTAATTAATTTGTTTTCTAAAATAAAAGGGACTAATTTATAATTTATCAAGTAACAGAACTATTTCTTTTCTATTTTATTTATTCTGAAAGCCTGGCAGCTTCAAGCATCTATTAATAGGACTATTATTTGTTTTCAACTTTTTATGAACTGTGGTTTTATTAATAATAAAAATTTATGTTGAAATTGTCTACTCGATCAAATCAGACACATAAACAAATGCCAATAGTTTTTTTTTTTTCCCTTTTCTTTTAATTTGATGTTAAGCTCAAGTTTAATTTGACTTGGAACTACATCTTACTATTATTATTATTATTACTAAGTAACTAAAAGTTATAAATGAGTTGATTTTAAGATAAATGTTTTGAAAATATATATGATTGGAATCTTAAAATTACATCTGTTGAAAAAAATATATCACCTTATTGTTGTGGTTTTAAATAAAATTAATTCTATTTCTGGCCTGAAATAAAAATATCTAAATAAAAAAACTGGTGTTATTTTATTTATTTATTTATTTTCCGGTAGTTGCAACCTAAAATTTTCCGGAACGGGCTGCATGAAGGAAAGGAACAAAATACAAATTTATCAAAATGGATGGACCAAAAAAGAAAAAGAATAACAAAATTTTTTAAAGAGATATCTAAAAATGTTGTATGTATTTATAAATTTATTCACAGGTAGAAAATGAAATGAAAGAAATGCACAGTAATACCAACACCAAACCAACAACAAAAACAAAAACACAGAGAAAAATCCAAAATTCCGTCTAAACATAAATAATAAAAACATCATTCTCTCTTATATCTCTTATCTCTTACCAGGAGTAGTCTCTGCTCCTCTTCTAAACTCTAGGGTTTTTGTTTTTCCTTTCTTTTTATTTATTTATATTAAAATTAAAAAGAAAACAGCAGTAGATAGAGATTACTACCACTGTAGAGAAAGGGAGAGATGGCGTCGAATCCTGCAAATCTATGGGTGTTATTAGGACTGGGACTGGCTGGGATTTTCTTAATGACTAAAAAGTTTAAGAAAGCTATCAGAGAAGATTTTGGCGCATTTATCGAGAAGCTTCAGTTACTTCCTCCGCCGCAGCCCGCTCCCCCTATAGCTCCTCATCCTCTCACAGGCCTCACCTTCGCCGTCTCCGACTTGTATGTCAATTCACTTCCGTTACTGGTTTTTATATGTGTATATATATTTTGAATTATTTATTGGAGAGTAACGGAAATGACTTTTTTTGGCAATTAGTTTTGAGTTTAATAATTTTTTTAATCAATTCTTTTTATTATTTTTTCGAATTACTTGTTAGACAGTAATGAAAATAAAAAGTTCAATAATTTTTCTTTGTTTACTGAGAGAATTGGCTAGAGCCAAAAAAAAAAAAAAAATTAGTCTATTTTTTTTTGGAAATAAAGTGGAAAGAGTCGGGTTTTATCTTTGTTGTTTGTAATTTGTGAATTTGCATTTTTGGTCTTGAAAGGAATTAATGGATATATATATGTGTATATATATATATATATTTTTTTTTTTAAATTGTGATTGTCAGATTTGAGATTGAAGGATACGTGACCGGATTTGGTCATCCAGACTGGGCAAAGACACATGAGGCAGCTTCTCGAACGTCTCCTGTGGTTTCAACTCTTGTTGAAGGAGGTGCTACTTGCATCGGTAAAACTGTGATTGATGAACTTGCTTATAGGTATGTTCTTGTTTTCGAATTTTGACAGACTGCAAACTTAGGTTATACTCTGCAGTCATTTTCTTAGTGGAGTAACATGTATGAGTTTATACTTTATTTTGTTATGGTGATGATGTTTGCTCTGCGTGCTGTTTGTTTTCAGTATCCATGGAGAAAACAAGCATTATGGTACGCCCACCAATCCTGCTGTGCCTGCACGAGTACCAGGTGGATCCTGTAGTGGTGCTGCTGTGGCTGTAGCTGCTGATCTGGTTGACTTCTCTTTGGGTGAGCTTCTTATTATCCTTTTGGAATTCTTGTGATTTCTTAACTCTTTAGACCACAATGCAAACCTCATTGGTCACAGGGTTAGAATTTAGAAACTTCCAAATTGCTTTCCAGCAAATGTTTTATGCAAAACCTTTTGTTGTGCCTGGGTTGCTCTTCCAGACAATCAGTAGTAGACCACAAGGCAATAACAATTGTCATAAAATTGAAAGCCTGAACTTGGTCTTTTGAGTAGGTCAGCAGGCTGCATGATTGTGTTACAAACAATCTTGGTTTTCATTCATTTGATTGCTGTCATTGTTGTTGTTATGATTTAGTTGGCCCATCAATGGTTGCTGGTTAGTGTGAAGCACACTATCATGTTTTTAACAGTTTGCAAATTGATTTGTTCTTTTTTTAAAAAAGAAAAAAAAATTTCTATGGAGTTTTATTTTTTTACACCCAGCATAAACCTTTATTATATTAGTCACTTAGACAAATCACATAGTAATTAAATATTTTGTGATGAAGCTACTTTATATCTAATTGCTTTGTTCTTTTGTTGGTTTTTATTTTTCTGTGCATGACTTTTATGGAGTTTTATTTTTCTACACGCAGCATAAACCTTTATTATATCAGTCGCATAGACAAATCACATAGTAATTGAATATTTTGTGATGAACTGCTTTATATCTATGCTTGTATAAACTACGCTTTAATTGACAATAATTATAATCATAATTGCTGTAGAAACCAGATTTTGCCATGATTAATTAAAGTTGATTTACATATAGTGCTAGTTATGGTTATGTGCTATGTGGATCCTCAAAGAGAATTGGAATCTGGTATTCATTTATGTGATATAGGATACTGTTGGTCAGGTCTTTCTGCTGTTAAATTTCTTCAGCCTATTCAAGTTTGCTGTGAACGTTTGACATTTGCAGAGCACTAGTTACTAAAATTTTAGCTTTCTGGACAAATAGTTTAATTTCTATATAATGCTTGAAAATTTTGTAATATGCATTTGATACAAATATTTTATGGCAGGTGTTGATACCGTTGGTGGTGTGAGAGTACCTGCTGGATTTTGTGGTGTCATAGGATTTCGACCCTCATATAGAACTATTTCTAAGATAGGAGTCTTACCTGTTTCGGCCAGTCTTGACACTGTTGGTATGTATGGGTAACTTTTTGGAAATTACCTTGTTTGTGATTCTCTTTTGATTTGTTTCCAGTTTAAGTGAAGGACATAATGTTGTTGAATATCTGATTTTTTTTTTTATTGCAATTTTGAATGTCTTTTGTTTTTTTCTATTGCAATTTGAGAATTTTTTTTCTAATTGAACATTTTTCTCTCATGTTTCTTTCAAGTAGAAATGTGATACAATGGATCTGCATTTCAACTTGCTCCATATGTGTTTAACTTCAAAAAAAATAGTTGGACACAAGATATGATTTAGCCCTGTTTTGCATAGATTTTGGTTTTATCTTTTCAAGAAAAGAATCAATCATGCAGATGTTCAAGTTAGGATTGATTGCATAATTACGTATTGTGTAATTTTACTAGGTGATTGACTGATCTCAGTTCTCTTTTAATTCAACTGTGAAGTTTAGCCCATTCGCTGCACATCTATTTAACGAGCTAAAGTACTAAACTTTGTAGTACCTGTACTACTGACTAGTTATGAATTATCTCCAACTGACAGATCGCATTGCATTGTTTGTTGCTCGAGGTGAGCAAAATTCAACTTAACCCAAGCTTTTGGAACGTCCTAAGAGCTGGTTTGTTGGCTTCGTAAGCTCCTTAAAATAAAATAAAATAAAATAAAATAAAATAAAATCTATCAAAACTTTGCTCTGAAGTTGAAATTGCCTCTTTATTTTCCTTACCACTTCATTTGTAATTTATTCTGCTCTCAGCATGCATGTAGCATTATCTCTGAAGTAGAGATCGTTTTTATTCACGTCCAGCCATTGATTGATTATTACTTTGTATCAATGGATTCCTTTTGATGCTCTCTGGTTTCCCTGATCAATACTGAATTTCGATCAACTTTGGATACAACTCCTGCAGGTTGGTTTGCTAAGGATCCTAATGTTCTACAACTCGTTGGCCATGTTCTTCTTCAACCTGCTTTTGGAGGTCAACGTAATCCTAGACAAATTATTATGGCAGATGATTGTTTTCAATTACTAAACATTCCAGTTGATAGAGTTGCTCAGGTGGTGATAAACTCAACTGAAAAGCATTTCGGAAGTATGTCCTGACCTTCTGACCTTGAGTTGTAAATTTTTTATTGCTAATTTTTTCCTTTGTTATAATACACAAATACTTCTTCAGGACAAGTATTGAAGCATGAAATTCTTGACGTGTATCTGAATTCTAAAGTTCCAAGCTTGAAAGAGTTCCATAACAAGAACACAAATGGTGAAGTTAAAACTTCTTCTCTGAAATTGCTTGCAAATGTCATGCAGCTTCTTCATAGGTAAGCTAAGCTTTCTTCTTTCAGATGTTAATCAAGTATGAATGTATGATAAATTGTTTAGTGGAAAAGCTGAGAAAGGATACAGTTTTAGTCAAAATTTCCTTGGAAGGCACGATGACAGTCTATCTGCTGTTTGTGATTGCACCACCATATAGCTTGGTTCTTTCTTCCACTTTTGTTTGAAAGGAAAACCGATTTAAATTTATTTCTTAATAGGTTTTTTCATCTGATTTTTTGGTTCCTTGGGATGGAGGTGGATTATAGATCATATTTATGCATATGGAGGTGGTATCGTTATAGATCATATTTATGCACATGGTCCATGTGAGAAGTGTATACAAACACCTTTTGTATGTTCAAACTTCAATATCAGTTTTGAAACTTTTAACCTTTTTCTGATAGTTGTATCCAATGACTGAAAGCAATATACTTACATTTGGGTTTGTAGTTAATGAGAAATTTTGTCAGATCAAAGAAAAAAGGAGATATCAGCAGATGGTTAGGCCTCTGTACTTTAGAGGTAGGAAAATTTTGGGATGTTTCTTATGGCTTATAAAATGAATTGTTTATGGTTTGTTAGATGGAAAATTTGTAACTTGAAATGACTGAATTCAAGCAAGTGGGGTGTAAATCCGATTTATACAGAAGGAATTTCTGTAGGACAGTAATATTGAGTGTTGAGAGATGATTAGGTATAGAAGAGGCATCAGGGTACAACAGCATTAATATATATATATATATATATAAAAGAGAAGTATATGGAGAAGAGGTGAGAAAGAGCAGAAATGGAAACAGTGTCTTAACTTCAAATTATGATCAATGCACTGAATATACTGTCAATAGGAGTCTCATAACCCATGGAGCTAAATGTAGATATTGACTCTGCAATTTTCCCTCATCCTGCAAGGAACAAGGCTTCATCTTGATAAAGATAATTCGGTCAAGATCTAGAAGGCCGCTTTAGATGCACCAGCTGAACATAGTCAAATTCTTAGGAACATCCGTAATACTCTGTTCTCAACCAAATTATGTATGTTTGTCTATGCATTACACTTGGCTATTAAGATACAGCACTAGAAGAGTGCCTAAACTCTCTGGGAAAGGTCACTAATTAGTCATCTTCCTACCAACTTGAGGTCACATTTGCAATTTGCAAAGAGCCAACATATTACTTTCTGTATAAAGTAGCTGGTCTCTGGAATCAAACTTATAAATTCTTTTGTTTGTTTTAGATTTCTACTGTAGAGGACCTATAAGCCCTAAATAAACAGCATGTTTTTGTTATAATGTTCAAGGCCATGTAAGTCTTGAATGCAATAACATGTGAACACTTCTCGTGCTGCATTATCTTATCTCTGGTCCACTTTTTCTGGGGTCAAAATCTGTTAAAGGTTACACTGGACAAACCAAATAATTGTTATCCTCTGCATTTTGGACTAGACCTGGGAGTTTTTCGACTTAATTGTATGTGCTTATTTAACTTGTGGAGGAGGATAGTATTCTGTGATTTCATGAACGATTGAGCATGATGCTTGACATGTAAAAGTTGGATGCTTCACTTTATTTTAATATTCTCTGGATAATATCTTTAGGAAGATATGAATTTTGTCTCTATCCTGTAATAGATATGAGTTCAGAAGCAATCATGAGGAATGGATTAGCACAGAGAAGCCAATTCTTGAACCTAATTTCTCAGCACAGATGAATGAAGTAATGGAGATATCAGATGCAGAGGTTGAACTCTGCAAGTCTATTAGAGAAGAAATGCGTTCGGCTATCAACTCTCTATTGAAGGTATATTTTTTCTCAATGGCAGGCTTTGAATTTTAATGTAACAAGTCACCAATAGTGTACATAAACAAAAGTATTCTTTGTTGAAAACTAGAAGAGATGTTTTGTTAATTAAAGCTGGCATTGACTTGGAGTCTATCTTATTTATTGGAGCTGATTTTTAATTGCTTAAGCTCCAATCAAATTTTAATGGATGCATTAATGAATAAAACCACTAGACAAGAAGTGGTCATTTAGAGTTTCAATACAATGCCTGACTTTTCTTTTCTTTTCTTTTCTTTTCTTTTTTGGCTCAAATAAAGAAACCTAAGTCCTGGGAAAATGAACAGAGTTGAAACAAAAAAGTAACAATAATAAATGGTTGGGCAGGATGTCTGAGATCAATGTTTTTTATTGCAATGTGTCATTATTTAATGCTCACCATGATATTATATTATTCTCTGTCTCTATAGAGCAGGTTGAGGATGTGATTGTCACAGTGCATACAGTTGCCTATATCTAACTCTTTTTTTTTCCCCTCACTACACAAACCGGCATTAGCTCTGACATGCAAGGCCTGGTATCCTCCATTTCCACGGGTGGGCTTTGGGAGTATATGGTTATGACTGTTCTTGCTGCCTGTTTTAGATAGTTGCTGGGCTCATTATATCCTTCTCCCAGTTCTTTTTTCAATTATAGAAGCCTTCTGTCTTTCGCAGTGGGGTTTCTTCTTCTAGAACTTGCATCAACCTTTTTCATTTTATGAATATGTAGGAGCACTTGGAAAAGAAAACTTTAATTTGTGTAATTGGTTTGAGTCTGGGTTTTGGAACTTGAATTAACAATTTTTGTTTGTTTCTCCAAATAGAGAATGCCATTCATAGTGCAACCTTCCTGATTGTCTTATTTTGATTTGTTTATTCGGAACAGCTATATTGATTATGCTTGTTAAACGCCTTTCGTCGTTTTGTCTTTTTGGTTTCTGTGGCAATCCAGGATGATGGGATTATGGTGATCCCTACAACTGCCTATCTTCCTCCAAAACTTGGTGGGAAGGAGATTTTATCAGAAGAATATCAGAGCACTTCATTTAGTCTTTTGAGCATTGCTAGCTTGTCAGGTTGCTGTCAGGTGAGGTATTCTCTCACTCGTGTGTGCACACACACATGCTCGTGCACATGCATGTGGAAATGAGCAATAAGAAGTCTCACTAAAATCCTGTTTCCTCTTATATTGGCAAAGTTTTTTCACTTCAATTTATTTATTTGTTTTATTTATATTCTTCAGGTCACTGTACCACTAGGATATTACAACAAGTGTCCTGTTTCAGTGTCCTTGATAGCCAGACATGGCAGTGATCGCTTTTTACTAGATACAGTGCGGACCATTTATACATCTTTACAAGAACATGCCAACACATATGCAAAATCCAAATCGAGTAACACAGACAGCCAGCAAAATTCTGCTGAGATGGCTAAAGAAAAGGTAGTTAACACATCCTTAATATGTCTTACCTGTCAAAACTGCAAAGACGTGCAGTGATAGATTTTGGATTGAATTTGATTGCACGTTTTAGCATTCTGATCTTGATCTTATATTTGATGACTATAATGCTGCTTTAAATTGATTTCCGTATGCACCTCAGAAGCTGAGAGAGCATCAAAAGTTTTATTCAATAGATACTGGACCTTGCATTGAGTTGTGCTGATAGATTTACTGTCATAACTAAAGAGGAGTTGTTCATAATGCCCGTTTGAGAATGTTGGGCTTTCTTCATCTATTTAGCTTTTGGAGCTTTTTCTCCAAAAGTCAAATATAAAAAGTGTTTGGTAAAATTCTAAAAGTTGTTTTGGAAGCTATTTGGAAGCCAAAAGTTAGAAGCTACAAAATGAAGCTTTTGGACTTTGGAGTATATTACAGCATCAAATCATTTTAATAGAACATATTACCAAACATTATTCTACAATTAAAACAGCCACAACTACAGCTACAGCCACAGAAAAAGCCACAGCTTTCCCAAACGGATCCTATAGTGCACCTTCTGCTCAACATTTTAGATAATGGAATGGACTTTAATCTTGCGTCTGGTTCCCATCTTGTTTCAATATCAAGAGTATGTGTTCAGTGATAACATGTCTTCATGTTTAGCTTGTGATTATCTCTCTTGTCAAGAGAAAAAATTCCACTTAATTTTTCAAAATGTATCTACTAATTCTATTTCGTATTGTCGATATCCAATTAAATGGTTTATGTGATAAGTTTGAAAACCTTTAAATTCTACACACACACACACTTGTAGTCATCTTTATGACTTTATCGGTGTCTGGTTTCATGCAAAAGGGCAATTAGTTTCATATTGCTTCACTGCCCTATATATACTTTTGCAAATGTTTTGTGCTGCCGTTAGTGTATCTCTATTGAGCCTGAACTTTGTTGATTGCTACGTACTTCTATGATCAAGGGCAATCAAGCATTTAAGGACAAGCAGTGGCAGAAGGCTATTAGCTATTATAATGAAGCTATCAAAATTAAAGATCAATTAGTTTCATATTGTTTCGCTGCCCTATACATGCTTTTGCAAATGTATTGTGCTACCGTTAATGTATTTCTGTTGAGCCTGAACTTTGTTGATTGCTACCTAATTCTATGATCAAGGGCAATCAAGCATTTAAGGACAAGCAGTGGCAGAAGGCTATTAGCTATTATAATGAAGCTATCAAACTTAATGACAAGAATGCGACATATTACAGTAACAGAGCTGCAGCATATCTTGAACTGGGAAGGTATTGTTTTATACCTGAACGTTGTTGTATTGGTATGTTATTGTACTCTATTGACAAATTTCATCTCTTACTTTCAGTTTCCAACAAGCTGAAGCAGATTGTTCCATGGCTATCAACCTTGATAAAAAGGTGACTTCTTGCTATTTTTGATGAGTTTTGTTATGTATTGCTTGTTATTACTATTTTTAATCAACTATGATGAAATTCTCCTTGAAACTTTCTGATTTGGCAAGGTTTGTGGAATCTAGCTGTAGCAACTTTTATTTTTGGAGATTTATGTGTAGCTGTATCCAGACTGCTATAACATAGATTCCTGTTTGCCATTTCGTTTCCAGAATGTAAAGGCCTATTTGCGAAGAGGGACAGCAAGAGAGATGCTCGGTTACTATAAGGATGCAATTGAAGGTGAGTCGTTTCATCATATTACACGATTCTTTGAATGGTTGTATTCTTTGTTTCATCTTGTCACTTTTATGGTAGCTGCTCCCTGGCTTTAGTCAAATCCAACTGCCATATCAACTGTAAAGGGGACCCAAATTAAACATTGTTTGTTGTAATTGAAGGACAATTTTGATTTTTCATGTTGTGGGCGGTCATAAATTCTTGAGCTATTTTGTTGCATTGGCTTGTGAAGACTGGCAATATGCCAAATATTTGTTGATCTTGGAATTCTTCTAATGCACATCTTCTAGTTATTTCTAATCTGACTTCCTCGTGGCATCGGACTAATGAAACTTGTTATTCTTGCAGATTTCAAATATGCCCTGGTGCTTGAGCCAACTAATAAAAGAGCATCCCTTTCTGCTGAACGATTACGGAAAGTGTTTTCACTAGGTTATTGAAGTAAAAACAAAAGTTTGTGGGAGGGGAGATCCAAATTTGGTTTAATACAGCAAAGCTTTGGTTGGTGGCTGTAGGCCAATGACCCCAGTTAAGTAGTTGAAACTTGATAGACGCCAATTTCGTACTTGATATATTTCCATGGGGCGTTTTTTGTGGGTAGAGAAAATCCTTCATGTGGAGGTATAATAGAGGTCTGGAGAAATTTATTATTTCATCTGATAGAACAATTTAGGAGCTATGGAAAGATTGTTGTGAAAACTTGTAATTATAGCCCAATTTTGTTTGTTTTAAATATTCTACGTCAGGCATGTAATTCTAGTTTTGAGGTGAGCTTTTATGCTTCAAAATATTTGCTTCAAACTTTTTTTCTTTTTTGCATTAATTTAAGCCTGCAAATGGCTTCGTATTATATGCGTGTTCAGCCTTCTTTCCCAAAGGAACATATACGAGCCAGCCTGTTTCGCCTTCCATGGCCTCTTCTGCTTTATTTGTTTGGTCTTTTTTCCGTAGATGCTATATTTTCAGAAAACAGATTTACAGTTCTAGTTTAGATTTTTCAAAGGATATGCCAACTATTTTCGTTCCTGCCTGTCCTTAGACAGCATGAAAAACGGCGGGAGACGAAAAGGGGGCTCAGTTGTTGTTGATCGTTTTCGTAGATGACTGTCTGCCTATATGAGAGTACAGTGTTTCTATGTTTAAGAAGGAAAACGAAAAGTCCATGTTTCGAATTCTAGTTTGTTAGTGAAAGGTTGAATCGGCTGATGATATATTTAGCCTTTCTGCGCCATTCCAGTCAAGGAAACAACTTGTGCGTAGAATACAGAGCATGGTTTTAAATAATGACAGTTATATAACGTAATGGTCATTATATAACGGCTTCAAAGCATAATATTATCATTATTAAGTGTTATGGGTGTCTCGATATTATTTTACATGTATAATGATAAATAATAGCATTATCATTATATAACGTCGTTATTTGTTATTATATATTAGAGTTATACATTAAAAAAAAAACTTTTTAGATTTAGAGTTTGAGAGTTTATTTTATTAAAGAATAAGAATCAAATACTAGAGTTGCAAGCTTGATTGAATAAATATTAAATTAGTTCTTTTATTTTGGCAAAATAAATTAGTTGGTACTTATTTCATAAACCAATTATTTTTTTTTCATTTTATGTTATTTTCTAATTTTTTTCCTTTTTGTGTGAAAAAATAAAAAAATAAATTTATGTCATGAAAAGATTGGTGAAAAAAATATTTCGTGAAATAAAATATATTATATTAAATATGATCAAAAGATTAAATAATTAGTTTTTCAAATATTAAAAACTAATTAATTCATTTATTAAAACTAGAGAGACTAATGTATAATTTACTTTAGGTTGTCTGTTTTGCGTGCTGGGCAACAAATGCAGGTTTTAATTAAGTAAATTATAAATTAGTTCCTTTAGTTTGGAAAAATAAAGTAGTAGATCCTTCTTGTTTAAAAAACCAATTATTTAGTCATATTTTTTTTAATTTTATGTTATTTTTTAATTTTTTTCCTTTTGTTCTAAAAATTAGAAAAATAAAAAAATAAATTTACATCATGATAAGAATGATGAAAAAAAATTATGAAATAAAATATCTTACATTAAATATAGTCAACACCAAATAAATTTTTGAAAATTAGAATATGTTATTACTTATTAATATTCTTAATTCGTAAAACTATAGAAAATATATGAATTAAAATAAATTTATTAATAGTTGCTAACGTATTCATAACATCGGTTGCCGCAACTATCATTTCATTACTGCGATAAACCACGGTCCACAATCGCAATCGTGACCATTTTTTCAACCGCGATCGTTATTTAAAACTATGATACGGAGAGATTTCATGCACATAATTCGAGTATTTGTAGGTTTCATTTTCTTTTCCTGCAAGAGGATTATCAGAAAAACAAATGCTTAGGAAACAATCTGTTTTATGCTAGGCGGCGTACAAAACTATCACCAGATAAAGCATATCCTCGCTGCATATTAGTCCATTAAACAAAGAGAAACAAACATGAAATACACAAGCATATACATCTTTAAACTTTGAATTTGATTTCACTTTCTCCTTAATGTAAACCAAAATATTAGTCAAAGTGGAGCAAAAGCAAGTCAATCAAATGCAAAGAGTTCCTCCAGCTGCTCATCCGTCCAATGTGGCAGTGAAGCTCTTGAAGTTGGTGGCAGTCTATCTTTAATTCCATCATCATTCCTCTTTTCTTGGTTGTTAAGGTCACCGACCGAGTCTGCTGGAGCAGCACCATATTCAGCACCTTCCAATGTATGGCCTCCGCCTGCCTTATTGTAATTGTTTAGCTGCTCACTTGTCACAACTTCCTTGTCCTTGTTACCAGTGACTGTTTCAACAGCACTTTCTTTTCTGCGACAATCCAAATCCTGTCTCACCAAAAAATGATCCTCCCTTGAAAGAGCATTTTGGTTTCTGTTGCTTCCAATGCTAGGGCAGCTGCTTCTTATCAATTCACCTTCTTCCCTCTGTTCATCAATCCGTGCACCTGCCATAGCACGTTGTCTCAGACTATCCATGATTCCTTCGGCTCTTCCTTGTGACAACGAGAATAGATTCTGTGTCATCTGTGATTTTTCACTCTGTCCTGTGATATCTAAGGGATCATAAGCAGTTGCATTAGGCATTTCTTTCGGAAAAATGCATCACCAACCAATGTATTAAAATAATCTTACGAGGAGAAGCAAGCATGTAATCCTAAAGAATAAGTGTTTCTAGACTGCAAAAGGCAGAAAGAAAAATAAGGACGTTGAATTGTGTCCTACCAGAACCTACAGCAGCATGTTTGACTGCTGAAGTAGAACAATTTTGTTCCAGTGAAGATCTGCCGTCCTTGGAGATGACCTGAAAAGGGTTATCATTTTATTGTCACTAACCAAATACAAACACTTGCAGGATTGCACACTTGTATATGTCAATATCAATTGGCATGAAGCATTTAGGTATTTCTTATTGGCATGATCATCTAAGTATTTCTTATAATCCAGGAACATAAACTCAAATAAGGAAATTACTTTGTTTCCAGACATCAGAAACCACTTTTTGATTAGAAAAATCAGTATTTGTATGTTGTATTATAGATATGCAAACTAACAGGAACTTATAGATCCTCGCATGCAACCAGTATAGAGGATGATCAGATGCAAACCATTTATTGTTCCACATCGAGAACCTGACTATAGTTCCTCATTACCTGATGTTATTATTGATCATACTCAAAAGGCAAAACAACTGGTATGCAAAATCAAGATGAACCATGATTATCTACAGTTCCAAATTAAATGATGTAACCTTCACAAATTCTTTTGTATGAGCAGATGTGTTATTCTGATGTCTAGATCAAAAACTTCAGATTGGCTCAACATATACCTCAGCTAGTAAGTTAAAACATCTAAAATAAACATTATTAAAGCTCTTTTTAATGAACATGGCAATGAAAACTTTCTACAAGCTCATAGAAGTGGGTTGTGAGAGATTTACTTCACTAATAAATTGTCTAATTACACACACCAGATAGAACACATACCTTGATCACGTTGCTAAGTGTTATGTTGAGATAACGTGCTAAACGTGTAGGACAAAAAACTGCAACCTGAAAGCAGCAACTATCATCCAATTTGAGACATAAGTTTTATAAGCATCAAAGTCTGCATATCAATATTTAGAAGAGAATAACACTCCCCTCTTATTCACAACGTTATTAAAAAAACCATGGTCTAGGCACAATTATGATAAACATGCTTTCCTTGGAAGAAGGATAATAGCAAACCTTTTGGACTATTATCACAGCTCCAATAGCTATGTCCTTTCCAAAATCTCCCTCAGCAAGGACTTTGTGATGAATGCTAGCATCAATTGTACCCGTGGGATCCTAAATCAAAACATAACCGACTTCCTTCCGTTATACCAAATACATGCATAATTCCTAAAGAAGACAACAAGAAATTCATCTGCTTTTAATATCAAAAATCTATTTTTGTATCAACAAAATCAAAACTCTCGCAAACGTACCTTTAGAGTCACCATCATATCACCAAGGCCGTTTGGTCTACATGATTTTACAATGGCAACAACCTACTCACATTTTTTAAAACATAGAAAATAAGATTCATTAAAAAAAAAAAAGACAATAAAATTAATAACTAAATTCAGCTATAGTAAACTTAAAAAACATGTGCACACTTTTACTTTCCCTTACTTTCTCAGGAACCAAACATAACCCAATAATCTTTTAACTTTGTCTTCTAAATTAATCACATAAATTGCACAAAAAGTATAAATACCTGAGCCACTTTATCAAAACTAGCCCATCTCTTTATCACGCTCAAAGGAATCCCAATTGCTCCGTCACCATCTACCAGCAAACCTAAATTTTATAGCATAAATACATGAATAAATAAATAAACACCAGCAAAACCCAGTATGAAAAAAAAAATATATATATATATATATATATATATATAAAGAAAAAAAAAGAAAAAGGAAGAGATCAAGCAACCTTGACGACGAACAAAATCAATGGCAGAGAGCCAAGGATAACGTGTAAAATCATCATCTTCAGCACAACCACTATCCTCCACAGCCCTTTTAATGTATTCTTGAGTAGGCATTGGTTCTTCTTCTTCCATCAAATTCTCATTAATTTGATTCTTGCGGCGGTGCATGGCGGCTTGTACTGCACCAGCAGGGCCCGGTATTTTGGAGTAAGTGATTGGTGGCGGTGGTGGGTTGTTTTGGGTGTTTTGAGAGCAGCGGCGGAGAAATGGCTGGGAGAGAGAGTGGTTAGCTCCACCACTCCCACCAATGGTGGTGGTGGTAGAATTGTGGTGGCGTTTGAGAGGGCGGAGAGGAAGGAGGTTTGAGTCTGAGTCTGACGAGTCGTTTAAGTCTAGTGCCTCTTCCCATGGTGCGTCCATTTTCTGGTTTCTTTTTTGGGATTATGAAAGCGCGGGAAGGATTAGGATTTACAGGGAGAGCATTTGGTTTTTCTGTTACGTTTTGTAAAATTTCGATTGGATTTTTGGTTACACATAAATTAAATCTGAATTGAATTGCAATTCGATTTTTGGATTTAAAAACTGAAAACAAATTGAATTTTGTTATGAAATAATGAATGTCTATGTAAATATTTAAAAGCTTTTCATATCTTCATTATTCATAATTTTTAATTTGATTCAATTTATCATTTAATATGAAAAATTGAAAGGATGTTATAATTGATTTAATAATTTATGTATTTTTAATTATTCATAATCTCTTCTAATTCTCTTCCTAATTTTGAATTTTATAATAAGCTTGATTGTTCGTTGGTTTGTATACAACCATTTTATAGAGATTAAAAGAATTGTTTGAAATTGTTATCTCCTGTATTTTTTTATTTCATAGTGAAATTATTTCTCCATCATTTTTCTCTCCGATTCTATTGTTGTTATCATTTTTTTATAGCACATTATTAGCACGAAACTCTAACCAATCGAGATAATAGACGATAAGATATGTATCTACCAAAAGACTTAATTATTTGTTTCAATCATTGGATTGTTTCTCTACACAAGTGATCTACCAAAAGACTAAATTATCTAGATGATTAAAAGATATATATCTAATTTATCAAATATTTTAAATCTAATGATATATAGAATATACATTTGAAAAGTTAAATGATTTAATATATAGAATCCGATGATATAATATATATTGTTTGAAGAGTTTAAATTTTATTATTATGTTTGTTTTTATTTAAATTTTATTAATATATTTTATTTTTATTTCCTAATATTATTATTATACTTTGAAGCATAAAATTTTTATTATATCAAATCTCACAAAGCTTGATTTTGTGGCTCTTGACATTTTGAGTAAGAATTATTGATCATGAGTGCTTCATGCCGAGTAAATATTATCTATTTTTCATGTTTCGAATATGCTTCTATAATAACATATCGACAAAAAGAGTTTAAGAAATATTCTAAATCGATTTTATACTTGTTCGTGGCTAAATAAAATAACAAGCTATTAATGAAAAAGAATAAATCTCGTCCAACTCGGATCTACTTCATTCCCATAAGTGAATGTGATAACTTATAATATTTTTAGACATGGACGAAGATGTGGTTATAGCCATATACATGGTCGAAATAATTATCATTATAATCATGATGACTATAATAATACATCTTACTACTAGAAGCGATAACTATGAAAAAAAATAAGAAAAGAATAAAAATGGATCAAGTCCGTATTCTGAAAATGAATATTATAGATTTGACATGAATGAACATTGGTCCGTACCTACCATACACTAAAGAACATGATTGAGTCTTGTCAAGTCTCGTTGAAAAAGAAAAGAGTAAAATATAGAGATCAATTTTATATATCAAAATTGAGGTAATTGAAATTGACAACTAGTTAGCTTTTCTATTTATAAATAAGATATTTTATATTTTCTAATAATTTCTATTGCATAGAGATAGTTATAAATTTATTTTACTATTTATTTATTTATGTTTATTTTATGTTTATTTATTTAATTATTTATTTTATGTTAATATTATATCTAATAATATCAATTTAACGAAAGCTCCGGAAGAGCAATCATATTATTACCTAAAGAGACAAATTTTGAAGGTTCTAGAAAAGCTAATATATTATTATTTGCGAGAGATAATTTTTAAATACTCTAGAATGGTGAATATATTATTACTTGAAGTGACGGAATTTAAAGGTCTAGAAGGACAAATATATTATTGTCCGAACGGATAAATTTTATTGTAAATGATGCATTATTCTTTCTAAAGTCTCATAGAAATTTGTTGAGTTTCAAAGATATTTATCTAAAAAGACATCATATTTAGACAACAAATATAGAAAATATTAAATACTTAAATATTATAATTACATCGGATAGAAAATGTGTATTGACAAAATAATTTGCTTTCTCTTCTAGTCTTTATTATAAATATTAGAATTGTTGAAATAAATGTCATAGTAAACCAAAAGTTTACTAATTTTTCTTATTCCGTAGCATGACCATGTGGACCATCTTAGATTTATTATGATGTGAAAAATTATTAAAAATTTATATGGACTTCCATTGAAGAACCAAAAGATTCTTCAATCTAATAAGTTTACATGTCCTATATGTTCTCAAGGCAAACTTATTATCAAGTCATCATTAAATAAAATTGAGATTGACTCTCTAGCATTTTTAAAATGCATTCAAAGTGATATATATGAACAATTTAGATATTTTTATGATTTTAATAGATGCATCTACAAGATAGTCACATGTATGCTTATTATTAACTTGAAACCTAATGTTTTCGAGGTCACTTGCTCAAATAATTCGATTACGAGCATAATTTTTAAATTATAACATTTAAAATAATTCGTCTTGACAATGCTCGATGAATTTACCTCTTAAGCATTTAATAATTATTGTATGTCTATTGAAATAAAGATTGAATAGCCTATTGCTCATCTTCATACTCGGAATGGTTTAACGGAATCATTTATCAAAAACCTTCAATTGATAGCTAGACCATTACTTATGAAAACAAAGCTCCTTGTTTATGTTTGGGGACATGTAATTTTACACGCAACAATACTTATTCGCATCGGACCCACAAGTTATCAAAAATTCTCTCCCCTTTAATTGCTTTTTGATTATGAGCCTAATATTTTTCATTTAAGGATTTTTGGATGAGCAAGTATATGTCCCAATTACTCCTCCATGACAAACTAAGATGAGTCTTTCGAGGAGATTAAGAATATATATTTGATATAAATCTCCTTCTATAATTAAGTATGTTGAACCATTAATAAGAGATGTTTTCACGGCTCGATTTGTCGATTGTCATTTTAATGAAATAATTTTTCCAACATTAGAATGAGAGAATAAACAAAATAAGCAATTGAAAATGTTGAAAAAAAATTACGTGGACTACTTCATCTTTATTTCATTTTGATCCTTGTATAAAACAATGTGAACTTGAAGTTCGGAGGATCATTCGTTTACAAAGTTTTGCAAACTAACTACCAAATATATTCCCTAATCAAAAGAGATTAACTAAATCGCATGTTCCCACCGAGAATGCTCCTATTAGAATCGATGTCTCAATATGACAATTTATTAATGTTATAAAAAAATAAATTTAAAGCACATCCGAAGCGTGAAAGATCGATCGGTTCTAAAAATAAAAAATGCCAAAAGAAAAAAAAATCAAGATAAAAATATAAAGGAGGCGAGATAAAATGATTCGGGATACTTTTGATAACAAGCTTCTAGAAGAAGCCCAAATGCTTGAGAAAAATAAATTGTTTTTGATAAATTATGTTAATATAGAGAGAAAATGAGATCGAAAATGTAACGCTCCCGCCCCGATCATATTTCTACTACCCAAGTAGAGTACTAGACGAAGCACGTTACGCCGACATACCCTAAACTCTAAGTAGTTCTCTTATGATATTCTTAAAACTTTAATAGCACATTATGTATATAACTCCTTAAGATAAAATTTACATAACATAATTAAATACATTAATATTACGAGCAATATTCAATTTCTCACGAACTCCATACCTCAAATTTACGAGATAAAATAAAAACTAATATATGGTGCCTCACATGAGCCGGTTAGGAGGAGTCAGCCGCATCCATACCAACTTGTCCTTTTCTTGTCACGACATAAAAATAACAACGGGGTGAGCCGAAGCTCGGTAAGTAGGGTGTTACACGTGATATGCAATGTTGTTTTGACTTTTCACTATACTCATAAATTTTAATCTCGGATACCCCGGGTATTAGCCGATCTATTTTATTTATCATCCGGATGGTCGGCAGATCACCTTTTGCTACAACGAAATTATCCCTCGTTGTAACTACTGTTAGCGGGAATCCATTGTCTAACAATGCAAGCACAAAACTTAATTTCATCTAGATAATCCTCGGATCATCTTTTGCTACAACGGAATTATCCCTCGTTGTAACTACTATTAATGAGAATCCATCGTCTAATAGTGTAGGCACACGGCACTGAGTACTGGACTACTAATACCCATTTATTCTAGTTAGGTTATCAAACCTAAAAGCATAAACCATTTCTCAATCAATTGACTTGTCTTAAACCACCCACTATGCACATGATGCACGTGATGACATGTTTAATCACATTCAACTAAACTCGGATACCAACCCTTCTTTCTCCAGCTCGTACTCATGGTTTAACCAACGCTTGAAATTCACTCGTTGCTCACATACCAGATCATGGTACTCATAGCGGGAACACAACCTCCGCTCATTAATATTGTTCATTAGTTTCATTATTATTTAAAAGAAGGTCCAAATCTTTTCCTTATTTCCTCTCTAAAAGAATAAATTTTCTTTAAAATTTTCAAATCCCCTTTTATTTCTATCTAAGTCCACTTATTTTAGTACAAGCCCATTTCTTTTAGTTTAAGCCCATCTACGTTAAAATCAAGCCTTTTGATTTTAGTCCAAGTCTATTTAATTTATTCCAGGCCCATTAAATTTACCTAATTTTTTTAAAACTTAATCTGAAGTCCATTGACTTTATCCAATTCTATTTTATTTTATCTACACCCATTAATTTTGTCAAAGTCTAATTATTGGGTTTTAGGGTTTACTATTGGGCAACTTCTAATCGAGTAAGTAATTTTCCAACTTCTAAACATAATTAAATCTTACCCATTTTATTGTAGATACTAGACATATTTATTTATAAAATATTAAAAAATTAGGTCTAAATACTAAATACACAATTAATTATAAAGTTTTGAAACTTAGGGAGCAATCTGCCTAGTAGTAGTTTGTCTAGAGCTATCCGTACTAAATCGGGTATAACTCTTTGTACATAAATCCAATGACCAAGAAATTTGAAAAGAAGTTAGTGGAAAC